CGAAAGGGTTTTTTTTCCAAAGAATTAGGAAATTACCAAAAATTAACCCTTTGGGCCATTAAAAGTTGTTACACAATTAATTTGGAGATGCCTTTTTTTTGAAAAACCAGGCGCCCCAAAGGGGTTGTTATTATTTCGTTTCCCCCTTCCCTTCCTTTCCTTGGAAATTGTTTTTAAAGCCCCCCGGGAGACGCGCCGAAACCCCCAAAAAAACCACCCGCATTGTTTCCTTGCCCTTATTGTTTCCCATTGTTCCCGTTTTGGATTTTTTTCTTTTTCCCGGGGGGGTTTCCCTTTTTTTTTGTTTTTCCCCCCAAATTCCCCGCGCGTTCGTTCGTTAAAGGTTTTCCGCTCTTCCCTTTTTTACCCCCCCGTTCCCGGGACCTTTTTTTTTTTGTTGCCCCGTGCCCGGGTTTTCCCGGGGGCTTTGGCTTCGCCCTTCCCTTCCCTTTATATTGGAGCGGGGGGGTGGGGGGGGGGGGGAGCGACAACAACCATCACCAACAAGACACGCTCTCGCTGAAAAGGACGTAGAAACTGCTCTTGGGAGCACTTGACCGAGAACGCCACATCCAAAGACAAGAGCTCTCGCCGTTCAGACCAGAAACAAGCACACAAGGGTTGACGTTCAACGTTCGCATGCAACTCCCCCCTCACCTGTAGGTGTTCCATCAAGACGAAGGCGTTCGGGTATCCCACCCGAACGGTGTCCTGGTCCACGGTGGGCAGCGAGAACCCCGCGGATTGCAGCAGGCTCCCGCAGTCCGCCACGTGCGCAGACGGTGACGTGTGAATCGACTGGCCTCCCTGCCAATATTTTTGCACGACGCGACATGGCGGCGGCAACATGCGTATCAGCCAAAGCACGGTCGACATGTGGCCCGCAAGGTGCGCTACCCTACCCGGGGATGGTGGAAAAAATGGTAGCGTTTGGTCGTGTTTCAGCAGTAGAGCAGTACTATAGTAGTGAAAATCGACGTGTCTGGAAACATCCAGAATAATCCTCTAGAGGGAAACAACGGTAAGCCTCCAGAGGATACGTAGCGGCAGAGTAGCTAACCATCTGCACGACACACGCCGATGTAGTCACGAGCGCATCCCATGCATCCGTTGCGCGTGTTTTAGAGGACGGCGGGCGGCGAAGTTGGTGGTGGGTACAAGAGTGGGGCTTTTGCGCTCTCGCGCAAACCCCTTCATCTTCGAGGCAAGACAAAAATCGAGTGCTTGTTGTGGGTGGCGGTCGGAGCCCATTCACAGGTGGCGCGCGTGCCACCAGAAACACGGCCGTTAAACACGCGCACACTACCAACACGGTGATTGCTGTGTGCACTAACCTCTCGCTCCTGCTCGGCGAGGAGCAGGCAGCTCCGCAACTCTGTCAGCGTTGAGCCCCCGAGCATCGCACCGATGAACGCCCCGTCTGGTTTGAGAACCTGAACAGTGCGGATGCGAAAGGAAACCGAAGCAGTCATGGAAACAGGAAGAGGTGGGGGGCGGGAGGGAATGCTCTGCTCGCGGTTGGTTCACGTTGGTGCCCTGAGCACTGAATGCGGGGGATGCAGCGAAGGAAGCGCCGCCTGCTGCTTTGCTTTGTAACGGGAGGCGAAGACAGCACCAGCATTTGACTCCACACGTGCGTGCCATTCCTTCATACTCTAACCCGAGCACTGCTGCTATTATACCTGTCGGCAAAGGCGTTCAGCAAACCCTCCATACCCATGCACGAAAACGACTTGGAGCACTGCCGAGGGCAACCCACTAATGCTCACGGTGACAGCACAAGTGTGTCTTAGGTTCCAGGATACAAGTGCGGAACGTCGTATCAGCGACAGAGAGAGGGAGACAGATAGTAAGATCTGAGGCACGCAACAACGGCCCAGACCTGCTTGATTTGCCCCAGCGCGCCCGGAAGATCGTTGACCCAGTGCAAGGCCAGGTTGCTGAGGACGAGGTCGAAAGACGCCGGGGCGAACGGCAAGAACTCCTCGTCCGCTACCACGCAGCAAGTGCCAACCTCTACAGACCCTTCCTCCCCCGCCGCTGCCCCCCCACGACTTTCTTCTTGCCGGGAGCGGCTGGAGCTGGCCCCCCTTAGCAAGGCCTTCTCGGATATGTCGCACTGCGTCAAGTGCTCGACGCCCCCGACCCCGCCCTTGCCGTTCAACCCCGGCTGCGTTATTTTCGATTTTTTAGGCCCCGACGTAGGGCGGTGGGGTGCGTGTGCAGTCGGCGGAGGATCGCGCGTGTTGGTGGTGCGGGTTTGATTCGCTCATGCTCGGCAGGTGTCCGCAGCTCGAAGTTCAGCTCAACTTACTGTGTGAACAACGCGCCGAATTCGGCGAAGCAGTCTCGCCAAGACAGAATACTGTGCTGAACTGAACCGATAAGAGACCAGTGAGCCACGACCTTTTCGGCTAGGATTACGGGGGGGAAACTGCTCTCAATTTCGGGCTCTTCTCTGAGAAGTGATCACCAGACCGGTGCCCCACACATTGATTCGAAGCGTCCTAAATAATTCGACAGTGACGCCCACATGGAGAACTATCGGTCATTGATCAGCCGGCAGTGTTTTTCCGGTTCTGTGGACGCGGAGAAAATAGGGCCAAAATCTGTGGCCCTGGTTTGGTTGCGTACTGGGAAGAAACGGGCGCGCTACGTAGGATTCTTTCAATTGGATTCTTTCAACGCGAGCAGGAAAAGGAGGTAGAAACAAACAAACCCGGGAGCTTGAAAAACCTCAAGCGCTCAGAAAACGCGCCCGCGCACTTGACGGACTTGCGTGGTCGTGGGAGAAAGACTTCTGCAAGGAGCTGTGTCTCCGCGGCACAAAGATAACATCTCATCCACATCGCTTGGCAATTGTTGCCTTGTCTCTGAACCGCCGCACAGTACCTTTTCACAAATGGCGTTATAGATGTGCCCAGCGTGCGCTCCGACATCGAGCGCTCGTGGAAACTCCCTCGAAATGTCCTGGAGGAGATAGAGGGGGAGGGGGGGGGGGAGGCACTGAGTGTCAGAGCCATCCAATCTGTCGGGTGGGCACGCGCTCAGTCGTGGTTGTTTTCCCAAAACACGCTCCAGCTTATCCCCCTAACTGCTGTGTGGGCCGCAGCTACCGTAAATAGCTCCGTTATGGTCGTACGTGTGACTGGTCGAACTTGTACATCATTGTCAGCCCTACGTCCCTGCTGACAATGCCGCCAGCCTACAGCAACGCATTGCCAGGTTTACGAGGAGTATAGACGTGTTTTGCCTGTTGGAGTATATACATGGAACATCGGCTTATGGGTTGGCGTGTTCAATCCTACGCAATGTGGACTTTTCTCTACACAGCAGTACACACACGCAGTGCGTGCTGGTTAGACGATGCGTGTAGCTGTAAAAAATCGCAGTCGTGTGGCAGGAAGTCTTGCACACTACGGTTCAACGATTACTTCGCCCGACTGCTGCAGCCGTTCCGACGATATATCCATTGTACAAGTATGTAATTCTGCTGTTGTCCTCAACAACGCGGAGTTCTGTCAAAAATGCCAACCGAGCAAGCGAGAGAGGTGTGTGGAAATGGAGTGCTACTACAGCTTGTTGGCAGAGAAGACCGCCTCCCATCGAATCAAGCCGTGACAGCGTGATATGGTTGCACCTCTATTCTATCCACGAGCACCCTTGCGATGTGCTCCCTCAGGTAGTCGAATTCTCCCTCCCAGTCAGCGGCCGCGGCTCGGTCCCGTTGGCGTCGTTTCGCCGTTCGATCGAACACCTTGACTGCTGGCGTGCCGTCTCCCCCACCGCCGCTCCCGGCGAATGGCCGGCATGCTCGTCCTTTGCCCAGATGATGTTGCCATGGCCTGGCCGCTATCACGCGCCTCGATATCATGTCTTGCGTAGACACAGCACACAGCGACACAGCGAGTGGTAGGTGGCGGGGTGGCACGGAACAGGGACGCCACGGCGGGGGGGGAGGGTCGAACATTTTGCGGAGCGCCTCCTTCGTGAGAGACACATCTTGCCACGCTGTGTCTGGTGTGTCCTCTGCTGGTCACGTTCAGATCCCGTCGCCAGGCGTAGGCATGAGCTCTTCAGCCCTTGAGAAGTGGGTCGCATGTCGCCGAGTTAAGGCGGATGCCTCGATACGGCTCTTCTGCGCGGTGAGGTGGGCGTGGTCGACGTCATAGGCGCGTGCCCGAGTTTAGATCTAAACTTGATGCGCATGTTTTGAAACTTTGTGCACAGCACCCACGTTCCTGTTGTGCAAATTGTCGTGGTATTAGCGATGCAGCGTCATGCACCCGGGGTATGGAATGTCGTGCTTGAACCATAGCCACGGGCGCGGTAGTGCAGCTGTCCAAGTCTTCAAACAGCAGGCAAACAGGCCCGGCCGTATTTGCGCCGCACTGCGGTTATGTCTACCGCCATATTGCACCGCACCTCCACACCTCCAACGAACTGCTGTTCATGTTACGTGTGACGTAAGGAAGAAGCTAGCCCGTGCAATTCCGTGTGCACGTTTCGGCATGGATCGTATATGTAATGCTCTGATTGCATTGCTGTCCTGATGTGTGAAGATAGGCGTGGGCCGGTGGCAGCGCGAGCTCGTTCAACAAGTGGACCTCCAAGCTGCCGGAGGCGGTGGAACTACACGCGCTTGAGCTCCCCGGGAGAATGAGGTAAATACGGCTTCGCACACCCCCTATGGATTGCCGTTAAATGAAGAGCCTGCTTCACACGCTGGTGTCGTTGGGTTGCACTGGCAAGATATGCCATTCGAGCGCGTTACTCTTTTGCCATGTATATGTTGTATTTCATGTTATCTAGTCGCGAACCCACGCGCAGCAAGAGAGGAGCAGTTGTTGTTGCCGACATCACTCCCGTGTCCCCGCACTTCCACCATGGGGATGAGTGCCACATTCCGACATAGGTTATCTTTTGGAGTACCAGAAGGTAGCAAACATCAGTATTGGTCTGTAGTACACATGGACGGGCATTGAGACGATCAACGGTTGACGGTTGTTGTCTATTTGAATTCTGGCCAGCTATCGTCGCGACACAGTCTATGTGGATCCAAGTCCCCTGTTTACTTGGTTTTTGTCGCTATGCTTCTTCATCATTGCTTCATCATGGAGCACCGTGTCCTGCGCATGCCACTATAATAACACAGGCGATCCAAGGAGGATAGTCTGACGTCCGTCTCTGCCATCGTGGAAGGGGTTGCTCAGGTGGGTGGGTACGCGGGATGCCGAGAGGAGGCTGGGGCGGGTTTGTTGGAGTTTATACGCGAAATACTAATTTCGTCTAGTTTGTTCCGGCGAGCGATGTACTGTAGTCATAGAGGACGGTAGGGAGAGAGAGGAAAGGGGATAGATAGAGCAGAGGGACGACAGAGGTGGACACACAGACATTTGAGACAGGCCTGGGGGGTAGGGGCGGCGCGGGTGCGCGAACGAGAGGCAGATGGTAGGAAAGCGATGCCCGAAAGTGCTGACCGTTGCGATCAATGCGCTCGGCAATCGCCGAAAGACAACGCCTGTTTCGCCGTGTGTTACAGTTGTCTCCCTCGAAGCTAGTACATGCGGTAGCTTGAACCTGTGAGGCCCCTCGCACACAAATCATTGAGCCTTCTCCTTGTACTTCAGAGGCAGGACTCTGTCGTCCAACTCCTGCACCCCCCTTGTCGGTACCATTTGATTAGAAAGTGTGTTATCTTCCCGCTACAAGCCTGACTTCTTGTTTTCATTGGTCAGCCGGTTAGCGCGGTCGATTATAATTAAGACCACACACGCACACACACACCCAAGGCCCTGGTGACGATGGGGCTGCTCGACAAGCCATTCGCCCTGTTCGGGCACAGCTTCGGGTCTCTCGTGATGTTCGAGCTTGCCCGAAAGCTTAAGGAAGACGCCGGGAAAATCCCGGTGTACCTCATCGTGTCCGGGTGCTGCCCGCCAGATGTAAGTTGCATCCGTCGTCGAAACGCTGTGTATTCATGCGGGTCCCTGAGAGAAAGCTCATCGAGCTTGCTTAGGTGACCCCTTGTGATTGAAAAAGTTAAATTTCAAGAGTGAACGTTCGACATCAGCCAAGCTCTGTACCAGCCAACATTGTTGTTGATCAGCGGAGAGTGAGCTCTGTCTGCCATTAAACGCGGGGAGGGGAGGGGGTGTCTCCTTGGCGCATCTCGTCACGTGTTCTCGCCTTGAGCGTTCGATCAACCACGTATCATCGTATGTTCGGCAGAGCAAGCTGCGTATAGCTCGTACTCGTGCCTTGACTCTACACTCCTTGCATGATCACGCTAGGCACACGCGCAAGACTCGCCGAAAACTGTTGCGTTCTCCCTTTCGTGCGTCCGTCCGCCAACTTTATTGGTTATCGACAATCAGTTGCGAACATCGTGGTTCCGTCACGGATGCTTTTCTTTCAAACCCAATATGCGTGTACGTTCACTCCCTTCGAACGGTGCTTCGTTTTTCACGCACGGCGCACGTGCCACGCAGATGTGCGTCGGCGGTGGGAGTTCGCCCCCGATAAGCCAGCTTCCCCGTGACGCATTGGTAGACCACCTTATCGGCCTCGGAGGCATGCCCGAGGAGTTAAGGGACCAGACGGAGCTTGTGGACTACTTTCTTCCCCCGATTCGGGCGGACTACACGTGAGACAAAGACAGTGCAAAAACCTCCGTTTGATGAACGCTTGCAGTATCGAAAACGAGGGTCACCCAACCCTGGAAATGCACTACGTCGATGTCTTGGAACGAGGGGAAGGGGGCTTGTTCCATGAAAACTTGATGAGAGAGATTGTGTTGGAGGCCCGACAGGGTACATGAAGTGCACTTGCTGACATGTTTTTGATCGCACCGCCCGCCGGGTCTACCTCATCGTACAGAGCAGTTGATGCTTGTACCTTCTGTTGCCTGACGCCGCAAGGTATCGGTATCCCTGACGTCCCTTTTTCTTGTTTTGTGAATTCGGCGCATTTCTAGACCCGTGTTTATGAGGCGAGGCGCGTTTGTGTGCGTTGTTCTGGGATGCGACTCGTTTTTTTGTTGTGTTTCGGGTCGTGTGGTAGTGAGCTTGGTTTCCTCCTCAATCCTGCTCCGAGCGGCAGTCAGATGTGTTCATTCATTGCCACCGAACACGGGAGTTGTCAGGCAAAGCAACGGCGGGACGCTTCGCTCGCGTGGTGAAGATTTCGCCCACGACTTGACACCATGCCGACCACACACATGAAAAACACTCCGAATGCTCCCTCTCTCCGTAGGAGATAGTAAACGCGTTGCATGCCCCATCGCGACCGTTGATTCAGATTGTCATCGTAGCCTTTGTGTCCGTGTATGCCACAGGCATTCTCAAGTGCCGTTGAGCGAGAATATCGCCAAACAGCATCAACCACGTGCGCGGTGGAATTTCTCAGCCGCCACAGAAACGATTTCATGGAAGCTCAAGGACTTTCCGGCAGAGCGTTCATGCTTCCCCATATCCTTCTCTTGCCTTTGCTGTGAACTTTGCAACGACAACAAGCGCTTACGAGGGCTACAGGTACGAACTTCGCCCGGGGGACGACTCTCGGCCAATCACGTGCCCAATCATCTGCCTCGGCGGGGAGGAAGACGGCAGGGCCCCGAGGAGCGACTTGGAGCGCTGGTCAAGCCTCACGGCAGCGGAATTCCGCTTGCAGATGTTCGGGGGGGGGCACTTCTTCTTGCAGGGGGAAGGAGAGCAAGCGGTGTTGACGTTCTTGGGTGATATTTTGACTGAAAAACTGAGGTGAAGGGTGGTTTCAAAGAGGAACAGACCTCCACGAATTTGTGTGGTACTCTTTCGCGAACATATTGTGGGGGGGTTGCCGTTCGCTGTTTTGTGCTGTTGCACTGAGTTGCTCTTTGTGCGCGTGACCAAAAGGTTGTTTCCGAGTGATTCGTTTTGAGGAGGGGTTTTCCAATTGACCGCTGTTGGTTTTGTCGAGTCAAGCAGCCTAGTCACGCCCCCCGAGTGTATGCACGTGCATGCGCTCTCGTCATGTTGAGATCGTATGAACCTTAACATCTTGTGTTGAGAGCACACGACCAATTGCAGACGACCACCGGATCGAACAGTCCGCGTTCAACACCATGAGCGCCACTGACCGGGGCGTTATTGTCAGCCCACACTTCATGCGTTGTGGTTTCGTGAGCTGTTGGATCGTCGGTCTGTATGCCGGCGCTCGCATCTTGCGTCGCCCATCCAAAACGCCGCCAACTGGCTCGCTCTATGCTATCCACCGGGAAAATCTTGATCAAGGGACATCTTAACCTCCACTCGACGTGAAACAGCTCGTAACCAACACTATTTGTACACTAAGGTTCATCTTCAACTTACGGCTTTGATGCGAAACAATTCCGGGCCTACACTACTCTTAGTTCAACCTGCTCGGCGTTGCGGCACCTTGTGCGTCAAGCCGGCCAGCTGCTGCGGGGTCCCCGCGACGGTGGACCCGATGGGTTTGCTGCTGGCGTACGACGGTCGAGACATGCCGACGCTGCCGAACCCACCGCCACTGGCACCGCCCAAAATTCCTCCACGGCCTGCCGCCGCGTGATGGCTGTCCTGTTGCTGCTGCTTGCCGGCCTCGGGTGGGAGGTCCGGACTGATCCATTTGTCGTCAGGCACGGTCAAGACTTCGAATGCGCCTTCCTCTTCCAAGACGGTTCCCCGGGCCCGTTCCGCCGCTGCCGTTGCTTCTTTTATTCCACTTGCGCCGTCCCCGCGGACGCCTTGTTGTTGATGCTGCTGCTGTTCGGCGCCGGCCGTTGTTTGCGGGTCGGTGTCTTGTTGGTGTCCGCCCTTTCCGCCACCGTTGTTGTTCTTGCCCTCCGCGTGTTTGGAGGACGTCGTCTTCGTACTGGACGGGTCTGTCCGTCGGGTGGCGGAACGAGAAGGGGTCCCGCCCAGGGATTCCTCGAGTAGCTTCAAGCGCTCGGCCTACATGCGTTAATAGAGAGGGGAGGTAGAGGGGGCGGCACGGTTTCGTTGTTGTTTGGGCGCACAGTTCTCAGTCGCATGATCAAGTCGTTCTACATGAAAAACGCCCATTCGCTGCAATGTTCAACCCTGTCCCAAATCGCGGGGATGGGATGTCCTTGACGATCCGCAGAATTTGGAATCGCTGCCAGGGAAGAGGCCAACGGTAGGGTGTTGGCACCGGCAGCTCCTCCTTCCCGTCATGCTCGCTCTACCCGCCCTCCCCTCTCAGCCTATCTCCGCGCGCTGCGTCGTCTTCGCCAATGGAGTAACGCCGTTAGAGTCTAGCTGCTGTTTCACCGAAGCCCCATCAACTACATTCACTCCAATCACCGCTCTTGATGTTGTGCTTCAGAGGAACTGGTGGGACGTATATCGACGCGGGTCGTCTACTGAACGAAAGTTCGCAGAGTCTAGTCTATTGAGGGTTGGCTCGTGCGTATTCCGACGCTTCACGACTTCTGTGTGCGGTGGAGACACATAGCGGTGGCCTCGCTGTGCACTTGGAGAATGAAAGGAGGACGAACGTGTTCAACCTCTTCCGTCTAACCCAGCGTCCAACAACAATGTGGATACATTTAAATACACGTGCGCATACCTTGCCGTGTTTGAGCAGCCACGGTAGCTCAAATGGAGGTTCTTCTGTGGAAAGTACCGGATTTCGTAGAATGCGCGTCTCCAATTTGGCTGCCCTGCTTGGCTTCGAGGTAAAGGCTCTAGCGGCCTATTGACACGCGGGAGGGGGGGGGGGGGCAAAAGAGAGCACCGATGAGCCCGTTGATGTTCTTATATGTTTGGGGGCGGGGTCGTTGAGCTATTGCACTCGTGCCGCGGGCGGTTGATGGTTTGGTAACATGGGGGTGTGGTAAAGTCATCCTCTGGTTAAAAAGAAAACAGATCAGGAAAGCGCAAATTAGTGGTTGGTAACGAACGGAACAAGTTTGCAATGAACGTGATTTGAAGAGAGCGTATGCATAGGCCCGCAACACGTTCGGAATATGAACGAATTTATTTGGCATGGAAGAGGGTAAAGCATAGCCTGGGTTGTCAGTACAGGCCTGTCGCCAGTGAGGGCAGTCCTGGTACTTCCACCGGAGGGCAATAACACCAGTAGAGGAGGACGAACAAAACGTGCTAAAGGGACCTTCGCGAACGCTGGAGCATTGGTTGACGGGTCACCACGTACTTTGATTCGTTGTGCCAGTTTCTACCTGCCTCTACGGTTCTTGGCTCTTTCAATGACTCGCCCCGACCCGGGCTCACACGGACTATTGTGGCGCATGCATTTATCTAGTCGCAAAAACTTTTGTCGTCCTTCGCTCATGTGTGCTCACGAACGAGCGTCATATCTACTACGTTAGATACGGCCAAAGCATATACCTCGCCGAGAATTGAATCAAAGCACTGATCAAGCCTTCCGTCTGCCCCCCGGTCAAGGCTGCAATGAATGTCTGGTGTTGATTTGGTGAAGCTATAGTTACGGTAACGTTACAAGACAGACGGAGGGAGAGAAATATCAAGAGGAAGGGGGTTATCCTATCCTATACAATATACATCACGCTTCTCTGTAAAAGTGGAGCCTTTCTTCCCCATGTCATGCTTGAACGTAGGCAACGGTGTGCAACGTAGAGCACCCAACACATCTACGCTTTGGAACCGTCAATGTTCGCACCATGGACGTCTCCGATATCACCGTCGCTAGCCTCGCCGCGGTGTTCTTGAGCGTGCGGCCATCGCCTCGACCTTTCCGATTGTTCCCATCCCCTCCCGCACCCGTGGCAGCAACACCCGCAGCGGCACTCTCAATAGCCGACTTACTGCTGCCATTCGGAAGGTCAGCTGCCGCCAGGGAAGCCATTGCTTCTCTCTCGAGACCGCCACCACCCCCGCCGTCGGTGGCCTTGTTCCCGGCGCTACTCGTGTTGTTACCGTTATCCGTGGTCTCTTCTCCTCCAACCTCGCCACCGCCCGACGTTGATGTCATCGTGGCACTCGTGTCGCCGAGCTGCAGGCCCTGGTGCTGTCCATTCATAGTGTCATGCGTGTTTTCGGGGGATCTCTGCACTGATAGCTGCCCTTGGTCCACCGCTTCTCCGCTATTCAACAGGTTGCGTAGGACGGCGGGGGCGAGGGGCGGGGAGGTTGAACGGTCGTTCATGACACATGAACTGAATTTTAGCATGTTTGGTTGGTAAAACAAGCGTCTGTACCACCCTGCGGTTCCGACCACGCCGATATACCTCACTAGTGTTCGGTTTACGCCCTGGACGACAAACAAATCCTCTTGTATCTATACCTTGTGACAGAGGCGAAGCAAACGTAGACCTAACCAAGCCAGAACAGATGAGGAAGCACAAAGGCACAAGGGGCCAAATCAAGCACACAGCTGATCGCAAACGGCTAAAGCGAGGCTAGCACAGCAACAACACGCGGGGTTGGGCGCCACACAATCACTGGTTGATGACCACAAGCTTGCTGCTATGTGAGACATGACGGGATGGATGGCCAGCTGTCTCCCTTACGATATTGGTGTGGAGTCTTCCTTCTCGCGAGCGGCTAGTTGAAGCTCCCACCGCACGTCGCCCCCCAAAAGCATCGAGACCCCTGCTCCCCCGCCCCCCCCGGCCCCCGCCCCTCCTCCGTCTCCCCTTCCAATGGCAGAGGAAACCACATCTCCGGACCATCGTTGCTGCCCTTCTCTCGCCGTAACGGATAGATGTCGAGCGCTGTGGATCGTTGGGGTTAGGGCTAGAGTAGGTGCGTGTGTCGCAATGCTACGCGGGTAAGCATAAAATGCGAAGTCTTTTAAGACGCAAGAAACTCCGCGGTGCATGTAGTTGCTTGGTTCATCATATGATCCATCCTCAGCCAAGACAAACCGCATGTTTTGGGGGTGTTGCTGATTGTATCTCTGGTTATTTTGAGATATCCCAGGAAGTACATGCAGGGGGACTGAAAAGGAAGGAATCATACACAAGTCGAAGGACTTTTTATGGAGAAGCAGCGATGGTAGGCGAAAGGGTGCTTCGAGTCCGCCGGTAGAGGAGTTTCTTCTGTCCTCTCATGTCCCCCACCCCGCCATTTACAACCACTAGGCGACCGCCACGTACCACATTCACCCCGCCCACGCCAGTAGCCCTCTTGATACCTTACGGTGAACGACCACGCCTGCTACACTCACCGTGCTGTGCCCAACAGGTTCAAAATTGACCATAATATCGGGTCAGCAGGTCGGCAGTCGGTTGGTGGCACTCCGCCTTCCCATTTCGGTTCTGTTTCTGAGGATATCCCTACTTCGGATCGCTCGGTCCCGCCATGTTTCTGCTGGTGATCTCTGTGAGAGCCAAGAATCCCCGCCTTCAGCCCATTCACCCTCCCCTCTTCCTAGTACCCGCCTTAATTCAAGCGGTACGGACCTTTTCTTGTGGGCGCCTTTGGTCAGCACTGGCAATGCTGTCAGGCCGAGGGCATCGTTCGGGTGGAGGAAATTCCAAGGTCCACGAGGAGGCAACTCTGGGTTCACCAGCGACCGTACCGAATCATCCAATCGCTTTATCGTCTTTTCGTTTGGGGCGGGAGGGGGGGAAGACGACAAATAACGCGTTCATGTGAGGGGCGGAGGGGGACGGTTTCGACGAGGGCAGGATCCATGTTTCAACTGCTGTTGTAGTCTACTACAGCCGCCGGTAGCTGCAGTGGTTCGCAAAGCTCGGGAAGCTCCATTGTCTGTATCCTACTCCCTTCTCCACTGTTCGCGTTCCTACATTCGGCGGTTCGGAACAGGCTTTCCTGCTGCGGGTCAAAGTCCACACAAATTGTTCTCGGCTTGCGCACATACCTGCGGGTCAAAGTCCATCATTGTCGTGATGGTCGCGATTACGCGGTCTCCCTTGGGCAAGAAGTCCCGCGTGCACAGCTTCGACAAGCTGCTCGAGTCAAAGAAGCGTGGCAGAGTACGAAATGACCATGAGGTTTCTTCTGTGGTGGTTCGAAAGTAGGCGGGTGACAACGCGGATTTACTCGGAGGCATGGACCGAAAGTCGGAGAGGGTGACAGCAGGAAAAGAACCCGGTAACCGAAGTAGGACACAAACCAAGCAAGACCGGAGCCGAGAGAATTCTGGCGGAGGTGAATTTGAAGCACGCAGTCATGGGCAGGATGCTGGTATAATATGCTAGAAAGGCGACTAAAACAGTTTGGGCATTCTTCCGAAAATGTAGATGCGAGCGGCGAACGACCCCCAACCATCGGCGAACGTGAAGTTTAGCAATACGTTACGGTCCTTGCGTCAAGGAGAGCCTGTGCCAAGCATGGATGTTTACGTAGGTGAAGCGTTATCTCGGACTATGCGGGAAAAATCGGTTTTCGGGGTGAAAGCTGCACTCAATCATTAGATCCAAGGAGCGCTCTGTGTGACCCCCAACTCAGAGTTGGTAAGCTGTAGGGCAGAAAACTGAGAGAGAGAGACCGACACTACAGGAGGTGTTCACTGTTGCAAGTTTAGCGAAGATGAGACGGGAAAACTATTCGAACACGTTGATACCAGGGAGAGGGGGCGACGACGGCATGCACGACTATGAGTACACACACCCCCGAGGGGGTGTACTCATAGTCGTGCATGCCGTAGTCGTTAGACCATTGACCTCGCATCCCGACAAAGCCGGGACGGAGCACGCCGGGTTCTCACCGGACCAGGCTCTCACATCACCAAGCGCGAAGCGCCGTGAAGTATTCGGCGAGTCGCATGAAGGGTGCGCTGCATCCTGCTAAGGGTGTTCGACATATTGTGCTTACTTCCTTGCTTACGGATGACAGTTGCGTATGACTTGATTTATTTTCTGGTGCTTTCACTTCCAGAGACAGTTGAAAGCGCTGTGTAACTTCCTCGAGGGCGTGTAACCAATTTGACACAACGTGCGATTATCCCCTTTACGCGGAGTGAGGGTTCTCGACCCCCGCACAACATAATCTACTCGACCACCACTCATGGTTACCGCAAAAAAAAAAGGCAAAAAAAAAAAGCGGTAACCTGGTTGCCGAGCTCACGAAGTGATCGGCTTATTTTACAACATCGCTGCCAAGCGACGAAAACCCAACCCCGATGGCAAACATCGTTGCGCTACGGGGGGGGGGGGGGGGTGTACTCATAGTCGTGCATGCCGTAGTCGTTTGACCATTGACCTCGCATCCCTACAAAGCCGGGACGGAGCACGCCGGGTTCTCACCGGACCAGGCTCTCACATCACCAAGCACGAAGCGCCGTGAGGTATTTGGCGAGTCGCATGAAGGGTGAGCTGCATCCTGCTAAGGGTGTTCGGCATCTTGTGCTTACTTCCTTGCGTACGGATGACAGCTACGTATGACTTAATTTATTTTCTGGTGCTTTCACTTCCAGAGACAGTTGTAAGCACTGTGTAACTGCCTCGAGGAAGCTTGACCATTTTAACACAACGTGGTGCGATCATCCCCCGTTGCGCGGAGTGAGGGTTCTCGACCCCGCACAACATGATCTACTCGACCACCATTATGGTTACCGCCAAAAAAAAAAACCGAGGTAAAAAAAAAAACGGTAACCTGGTTGCCGAGTTCACGAAGGGGGGGGGGGGGTAAACACGGGAGGGGCGGCTTGTTTTACAACGTCGTTGCCAAACGACGAAAACCCAAACCTCGATGGCAAACACCGGAGGGGGGAACAAATCGGACTTGACCCCATCGGTTCTCAATTACCTGTAGATCGCAAGCTCCCCCACCGTTGTGGCGGAAGGCGTGTTGTCACCATGATCCTCCCAGCTGCAGTTCTCCCCCAGGAGGCCGACCACATCGAGAGTCTACAGAACCCATGGAATTGTGGTTAAAACCATATCGCGCAGGTTTGTAGAGGTACGGCAGCAATGTCGCATGATGAAGGGGGGTGCGCGGGGATAGCAAATCATTATCGTAGGGGTAAAAAGGATATCTATTCTGTATCCCGACCGCATCCAGGCATAGCTTAGGCCGCGCCGACAGTGATGATGCGTGGCAGAGCGTTGTTCTTTTTGTGTCTGGTTTTCTCTTGTCGTTGGTGTGCGATGAATTTGGGGACACCGAGGAGAAAGTTGCCTCTGTCGCACCTATGTCACACTCATTTGAGTAGCTTTTCACAAGCAAGGATCCAAGTGTCTTGGGGGGGACAGTCTCTCATCGTTCGAATAAGAGACGCACGTAGGCAGAAAACCCTAAACGCACAAGGATGGGATCTTTGTTCTGGTGTTCCTCGTCAGAAGCGGCGTTACGAAGAAATATGACATCCTGTAATTGCACATATCACACCTGCAGGTCTTGCACATGCGTGGCGTCGACAAGGTTCACCATGGCCGCTGCGCAGTTGACCTGCACTTGGGGTTGGTCGGAGCAGCAAGATAGTAGCCGCTTGGCTGTCCCAAAGCAGGCGGCGGCGCGCTCGCCCCCCAGCGAGCGAGCGCTGGTCGCGGTCGAAAGGTTCCTTAGCACCGTGGAGCAGATCGCTAGTCCCTCCTCGTCCCCCGAGAGGGTCGACGAGGAGACACACCTGCAGAATGTAACGGTTGTTCGGGTGAGGCTAAAACGAGGGTCTGGGTAGGGCGGGGAATAGTGAAAACAAGATCAACGGATAAACACAAAGAAGACAGGAAGGGAATCTATAGGTGGTATTTCAGGAGGAGAGATGAGTAGACGGGGCGACTGTTGCATCGTCTGAACGGGTTCTGAGTGTGTTACGAATGCGTGCGCTTTCTTCCAAGCACCGGGAAGAATCTGGGTAAGTATCGAAGCAACACAAGCGTGACCTGGTTTATTTTTCCCACGAAGCTGGGCTTCTAATTTGAACCGAGTCTCACGTATTGATGGCGCCCAGGATCCCCACGTCGATCATGTGCGGCCAGAGATTCGAGTGAGACGGGCTACAGAGCCATCCAACCGCCCGCACCCACAGCCTAGTGATCTCCCTCGCCGTCCTCGACCAGGCATCTTCGCCGGCGCCGCCCTCACTCCCCTGCTTGCTGTTTCCATGCCGGTAGGCCGGGTTGTGCGGTCGCCCCGCTCCCTCCGTGTACCAGTCGTCGCCGACGGATTGTTGCAGCGTTTTTTGGGATGCCGTCGTTTGTTGCGTCGTATCGCCGCCACTGCCATCGCCCCCACCCTCTGATAAACGCGGCCTCGGGCCTCCTCCTCCTCCTGCTGCTTCTTCTGTCGGCGCTGGTGCTGCAGTCGCCTCCAGCGAGGAACGCGTGGAATCATGAGGTCTCTCCGGCGATGACGGCGATCGCCGATTTTCTTCGTGGTCGGCGGTACCGGTGGGCGGGGACATGGACAGAGAGTCGGCGAGATTGTCATTGCTTGCCAGACCCCTCTCCGACATCACGGCAGCACTATCCTTGCTGTCTTTTCCTGCGGCCTTGGGGGAAGTATTGCTGTCCATCCCCTGCGGTTGTTTCTCCCCGACCGATGCCGATGCCGCCAACCCTCCCCCGACTTCGCCCCCACTGCCCCCGCCCTCTCCTATCCTCCAAGGGTGTGACTGTGTTGACGCCGCCGCAGCGGGTGTTGAGGACGCATTGTAGTTGTAGTAGTGAGCGATCTTGACCAGTGCGTCGAACGTCCGCTGCGGGAGGTCGAAGCCCCCCTCGGTCGAGTAAAGAATGCAAAGTTCGCAAAGGAATCTGCAGGGTGGGCCATCGGGATGGGACGGGAAGAGGATCGCCGCACGCTGAGCGGGGAATGACTATTGTTGGCGAGGGAGGAAGAGCAGCGTTGAATATCGCGTGACATTTGTCCACGGGAGCGATAGCGTGCCTGGAGCACCCGGTCACCCCCGACTTTCTCGTTGTTTTGTCTACTTGAACCGTTGGAAGTTTAGGCCAGGGTTTTTTTGCGGTTCAATTTGGAACGAGCTGGGTTCATCTATTGAAGGTCCATCTGGGAGAGTGCTCAGTTGATCCATCGACGGCCTCTACTTCAACTTGAAGAGTGCTCAATTCACCGGTGAGGACCAACTCAACTTGAAAAAAGGTCCGCTCATCAATGGTCCAGTTTACAACTTCAAAATTTTCTCTCACCTGCTGGTGATCGCCGCCGCCTCTTCTCCGCCGCCGTATAGCAGTGGCCGCGGCTCCCCGCAGCCCTCGGGCAGGGGTGGGTTCGGAGGAGGTGGCTCTCCCTCGCGCTTGCTGCCCCTCCGGGGTGGGTGGTGCTTGCTGCTGGTGTTTATTCGTTCCGACGAGGCGACAATGGTCCGCCTGCCCGTCGACGTGGTCGTGGTGGTGCTGTTGCTGTTGCTGTTGCTGTTGCTGTTGCTGTTCTTGCTGTTGTTGCTGTTGTTGTTGTTGTTGTCCCCACCTGACGTGTTGGACCGGGCGGTTGACCCTGGCGTGGTGATGTTCTGTATCAGTTTGACACGACATTGGTAGCGGCAGGAGTATGCAGGTGGGGTGTTTTGGAGGGTGAGAGCAAAACAATAACGGTGAAGGTTGTGTTTTATGGAGCGTCGGAGGGGCTCGTAGGCCTTCCTCCCGTAGATGAGGTGAACTGCCTTCGTAGGCCTTCCTCCCCTAGATAAGGTTAATACTGGAACGGACACTCAGCGATTTGCGCTCTACTCCGAAGTTTTCTGGTGCGCACATGTCAACACATTGTTTCTGTGGCAACGAACACGGAACGGCTGAGAGTTGGAAAACGGAACACGTATAGAATCGGTTGACGGGTCCATCGGTAACCGTTTAGCAGTATTGCTTCCACACCTAGCCCCTTCCGTATCTACACAAATGATTCCCCTGCTGCACAGATCACTATCCCACCAGCGCTCTAAATTCTCAACAGGGTATGGATCAATTGTCATCATCATACACTTTCCTCCTGTTGACACATTACGCATGGACCGCGAAACACAATGAAGAAGGTCTCACCGAGGTTGATCCCCCGGAATTGCTCGTGCGGTTGTTCCAGCGGGTCGGCGGGCCGCACAGGAGCCCAACCAATATGCCGGCGATCGGTTTCTTGCTGAGCCTCTCCCTGAGCGTCTTGCTCGAAAACAGGTTGGACACCAGCTTGGCGCACAGCTCGTGCCGCACCCAGTCCCGCCCTCGAGAAGAACTATTCCCACCGCCGCTACCACCCCCCCCCCCCCCCATACCACTGCCGTCTTCGTCAAAACCCCTTTCGTCGCTGTCTGCACTTTCAAGCCCGTCGCTATCTGCTAGGCCCATTCCTCCCCTGCTCCCGCCCTTGCTCCCGCCCCTGCTCCCACCCCTCGCCCCGCCGAGGGTTCCCCCTGTGCTGTGGGCGCCACCGGAAGCCTCGTGCTCGTACTCCGATAGGAACTCCCGGAGGACTTGCACCTTTTTGCGGTGTGTGTGAGCGCAGGGTGGTGTGTATGGGTGGCCGTGGCAGCGACGGCGAGGACGAAAAGCGCCCACGAGTGGAGGGGTGGAGTTGGACAACCCGTGCTTCACACACAGCAGACTCTTTCCGTGTGTTCGCAACACTTCGTTGACCTCGCCATTGTTGCGTGGGATCGAGAGGGGCGCAATATGATACTCGTGCGCGGCAAGTTCATCAAACATCGCGAGAGTCTTGCGGAAGAAACCACTGGCTAGCCGGAAGTTTTGCAACTAAACCCGTACCTGCCCTTCCAGTTCCTCGTACAGTGAGGTCTCGCAGGAGATGTTGACCATGGTGCCCATGATAAGCCTCTTGTACGCGCGATCGTGTGCCATGCTCATGACGGAGCTCTTGCCCGACAAAGGATCGTTCGTCAGCTGGCTCAAAGAGCGGCGTCAAGAATCCGGCAAGAGGGCGAAGGCACGTGGGAAATTGAGGCCTATTCTGGTGTGGCCCTACGCGCGAAAGAGCTCCGATTCAAATGAAACCACAGCTACCGAGAACACGTGAACTGTGCTTGTTAGTTAGTCCAGGCGTGACAGTCACCGCCGATGGCAGCAGGCAAGAGCTGGTGTCTCGCTGCCCCCACGCATAACGTTCATCAAACACTTCCGACGGGCTGGGCTCCCTCACATCCGTGACTGAGGGGTGCCAAGTCAACACCTGTCAAGTACGAGTTAGGCTCCCTCTCCCCCCGACTCCCGAAACAGGCTGGTATCGCCGTTGTACCCCTGGGGGGGCTGCAGTCCAAATGGAGACCAACCTTGAGGTGCGAAAAAATCTGCCCATCTCCATGGTAAACGATGAGCGCACGGTACTTCTCCACGAAAGAAAGTCGTAGGACCACAGCTTGCCACGTCACCCACAGGTCAGCGACCATGTCTTCGTTCGGGCTACGATGGCACGGGCAACAGGCACGGAGGGCAGCGGGTGGCCAATGAACAGTTTGCGAGGCGAGGGTGAAAGACACGAGCGTGGTGGTTCAGACGGCTTCTCTCGGCTTCTGTCACGGGCGTGAAGACTTCGTAAGATACGTTTTCCTGTTTGGGCTGGCTGATGTGTAGGTGACAATACACGCAGATCGACGCGCAGTGGGACATGATAGGGCAAAGCACTCGATCACGGCTTAAACTGTGGCCTACCCCCCCCTGCCAAAACAATCACCGAACAACAAAACATCAAGAGATGGACCTCGGTATTGCGGATGAACGTTGAATGTACTCTTTCTGTACTCTTTGGACAAAATACTTCCAACAACAACAGCAGCAGCGCTATCATCAACAACAACAACGGCATTCCAGTTAACCTTTCGTTTGGGTCTTCGTGCATGATGAGGGTGAGCAGCGACATCACCGCCGACGGGTCAAGCCTCGGGTCCGAGATGCTCAAACTCGTGAGGTTCATCACTGCTCCTAGTACGTTCCTTCGGACTTCTAGGCTCGGTTTACGTCCCATGCTGACGGCCTCCACCGCCTCTAATCTCGCGCTTGCAACCCGCTCCCCCGTGCTGCTGCTGCTTCTTCTGGTCGCCCCCTGGCCAACGGCGTCTGCGGTGTGTCCGTCACTACCACTCGTAGTCGTGCTGGCCTCCGGCCCGCTCCCGACCCCGCTCGCCCCGCTCGTTGTAGGCCCCACGTCGCCACTGCTACCGTCCTGTGCGCTTTCGGTCTCGCCCCCGCTGACAGCGCCAACCCCGCCGTCGTCCAAAAGGGCCGCCCCTGACGATTGCGTACCTGATACCGAGGCATCTGTTGCGCTAACACCACCACCCCCACTGCCGCTGCCATTTCCGACTCCTCTTATTGACGCGGCAGCATTGCTGTCGGGCTGTTGCTCTTGTTGTTGTTTGTTAGCTTTCTTCGCGTTGTTTATCGAGGAGGACCCCAGTAGCTCGAGCAGCGTGCAGGTCACGCCGGCTTCGAGCAGCGCCGGGTGGAAGTCGTGCTCGCACGTCAGGTTCCACAGCATCCGCGCGACAAGCTCGCGAACCTGGGAGAGAGTTAAGCGAGCGGGGCAAGGGATGACAGAATGATTTTCTATGATCGTAACCCTCAGGTCATGGACCGTCGCACCCTTGCACAGCCGGACGCAGCTCATGGCACTTTCCTAAGCAGAACAGCAACGCACCGCGTGAATCACCGCGAGGTGTTAAGCGAGGGCCACAGAGGTTGAACTGCACCACTACGGACTGCTTGTGACAAGGGTTTCGGCCCGTTTCGCCTATTATCTTGTGCAGATGACGCTTCGGATTGCTTGCGGGCCTTGATACTAGCCGTCGGAATACACTAGGGAATTTCTCAAGGCACGTACAAAGGCGTTCTGAAAGCTGGCGTCAGCAATTGCATACCTCAGGGGTGTATCCGTGGACGAGCTCGAAGAGGGCAGGCATCTCGTCGCCCGCTACGAGCGTCGCTCGTCGCTCTTTCGATACCATGAGGTTGTTCATTGCCTTGATGAGGTTGCTTTTCACGTCGGCCGTGGCGGACGCGAGGCAGCCGGCGATGGTGTCTCGCAGGATGTTTGTGTTAGTGAGCCAGAACCGGTCGCCGTCACCAGCGGCTACGCTGCCTTCGTTGTTGTCTATCGTTTCGCTAACGGCAGCCCCGCTGCCCTCGTGGCTGACCATGTGGTTGTTGTCAGGCTCGCGACTCCTTAGGCTTTGCGCGCTGCTCCCACCATCGCTTTGCCGCTGGCTACCGTGGTCGTTCGTGTCCTTACCGTGCCCCCCACCGCCCCCTTCATTCACCGCTGCCTTATCTTGTGTGCTTGCGAGTTCTGGTGTTGCCGCGCCCCCGTCGTTCCTTGGGGAAGGGAGCTGAGTCTCACATTGAGTCGCCGCAGCCACGTTGCAAAGCGCAACACTCACGTAGCTCTGCCCGTCCGGGGTAGACGCGCGGGATTGGAGAAAAACGCAAATAGGGGGAGGACAAAGAGGAGGGTGCTTCATCGATTATTTAACCTTGTTGACGCTTCCAGGTAAGACGAAACGAGACGTTCACCTGTGGCCCAGCAGGTGGGAGGGCCACATGCATGAACTACATGCCTTGGTTTTCGGAGAAACGCTCCGCATGAGCACCGCAAGGCTCTTCCCGGCCGCTTCCTTGACTCCCATCTCTTTGGCAAACTTGGCCTCGCTGCTCCAGTCCGCCATGACCCTGGCGCACCGGGCCATGAGAGCCTCGTCCGGCCCCGAGGTAAGCACCGCAGAGCACACGAGATACACGAGCTTTTTCTGGCCGCCAAGGAGAGAGCAGAGAGGTGAGCAACGACACGGAGGGGGGGTTGCACATGAATTCCCACGCCGTACTCTGTAGATTGTTGGTCTCACATCCGTTTGAGTACGAGACGCGAAGGTGGGAGAACACCCAGGGAGATAGACAAAAGAGTACAATAAACCAGACCATTGGAGCAAAAAATAGCCTTTCTTCTTGGTGTGCTTTGTTGCCATGAAAATAGTCTCGCCGTGTTGCCAGAGGCTCGGCGATTTCTCCAGTCCATATTCTCTAACAACTGGCCTCTTAAGTATGTCAGCATACCAATGGGCACCACGAAATGCAGCTGGCTGCCTTGGCCTAGATATTTTAATGGAAGGAACCCAGTAAACGGTGCTCACGTGCACACCAAAATATCGGAGTTTGCTTGTTTTTTTCCGTCCCCTTTTTAATTGCGTGGTCGCTATGAACTCTCATTCAAGCAGACCATACCGTGGTATCGTGCTTCCACGCCGTGGTTGCTTCGATCCTGCTTTCTAATAGGCTAGATATGAGGTGACCAAGTAGCTTTCGACGAAGATGGGTCAGGTTGTGTACATGACGCCTCAGAGTACTGGCAGACAACCACCACCATCACAGCAATCCCAACAACATCGATGCTGCTTCCCCCTGCTTTCGTTGCGAACACTAACCACCATTGAAGTCATCTCCGAAGGCGACGATGCCCGCCCGTACTCTCCGTCGGCGTTCAAGATCGTCCCCACACGCTCGACGATGGCCACCACGCAGTACCTCAGAGCGCCAACGTACGGGGTAGCCACTTTCACCCTTTCTCCTGAAAACCTCTTCCCCTTCATCGGCCAGCCCGACCGTTGCGGTCGGGGGCTACCAATACCATCACTTCTCACCCCCCCCTTTCCACCGCCACCATCGATGACGGTATTCCCCCCTCCGCTGCCCTCACGCCCACTCGTGTTGGGAGCTCCAGAACCCCCGCTCCTGCCGCTACCATCGTTGGTCCCTTCGGCGTCAGGGCGAGGACGCCCGTGCTCTGCCTTTTTGTCCGGCGCATTCCCTAGCGCTAGCGTCATGAGGAGATCGATCATCTTCGCCGAGGCCATACGCCGGCAGAAGCGCGGCTCGACGGCCACCTGCGCGACACGATGCGCGCAGGACAAACACCAAGCCGGATTTGCCATACTCTGCTAGAAACGGCGAATCCCCCGTCGAGTTTCAGTTTGGTGCGCCAGGCTTGGGGATGAGGGGACCGGGGGACAGTTTTGTGACCACTTACGTACCCTTTTCGAGGTGCAAAATGTTGATACGGCATATACAAAAGAAACGGTCAACACGAAATAACGACGGACCAACGTCGGCGTCGATTGTGGGTAGGAGTGTTCCCTCCTGCCGGCCCAAACATCGTTCCGAACCGACTCAGGATATCTTTATGATACACCGAAAACACCTCTGCCAGCTACAGATTACTCTTCACATATTGACGTACATGCCAGTGAGCATGTTGCTCGAATTGTACTGGGCTCAACGAGTGCTGCTTACGACGGACCTTGACAATAAATAGCACTCCCCCGCCTCTGATACTTCGTACACGTGTACATATACGGAGAGCTCTTATCCTTCCACAGGGTGGAAATACTGAAACACATGCGTTGGAGTTAACGAACTGTGGCGTGAAAACAAGTGTGAGGTTGAGCGGCATTGTTGTCTAGCTGGACACCCCTTGAACGGCGAATGACTGTGTGAGGCGAAACTAAAATATACTTAGGGTCAACACAGTTGATGCCAATCAGACGATCAACGTAATCCGAACTCGTGATAAGAAGCGGCGGTGCTTCATTCGCATCAACTCGGGTGCGCGGTCAATGGTAGCCGTCAAGATTGACAACAAGCACGGAAACAGGTATCCGATCCCGAGCTGAAGCTCGTTGCAGAAAACCTATTACCTGTGCGACGATGGCGAGCTGCGCAAGCAGAAACTCGGACTCTTCCTGGCCGTTCTGGCCGGGCTGGCCGCCGTTAGCAAGGTCCTCGAGGGCGAGGTCAGCTGCACCGCTCTCGGCAATGTCCGAGCACAGGTCAGCCGACTGCGCCAGGCTGAAGATGCACGCGGCCGCCATGAACTTTATATTCTCGTCTTTGGTGAGCTGTGCTTTGTCGCCATCGTTGTTGTTGTTGCCGTCGTTATCGTTGTTCGTTGATGATGTCGGTGTTGTGGTGTCGTAAGCCGATGACAAGAAGAAGACAGCAATCAAGCCAGTCCCAGCGAGCGGTTGCCGTCAATCCGAGCAAACGGTTGTCGACCCCGGCCCCAGCCCGCCGAGACGGTCAGTGGTACGAAAACGAAGTAAACGTGTGAGTCAATGACGTAGGTACGTGGAAAATTGACCCCCAAGCAGGTTACGGTAATTGGTGGAAACAACAAATGAATTGAGGGTGGCAAAAAAAAAAGGCAAATAAGAACCATGAAACGTGATTCGGGGCTCAATCCCGGGGCTACCCGCGGGTACGGCACCCCTCCTCCCGCGGCCCCGCCCCCTGTACACGGTAGCAGGAGACATGCGGTTCTCTAGCCGCAGCGAACCTTGTCGTAGCACATGTGACTTTGGTGCGTTTAGTGACCATGAATTGATTTCCATCACCCGCTAGATATACTACCATGAAGAGTCAGTTTATCATCATAATAATGCTTGCCTTCATGACCTTGCCGCACAACGCTGGGAGACCGTGCTGCACGAGCCTTGGCCTGTTTCTGCCTCGAAGCGTCATAGAGAAGCATGTCTTCGTCACCACCTGCGTTTCAGGGTCCACGACACGAAATTCGTTTGAAACCCGATGGGAGCAGGAGGACCAGATCAAACATGAACTAGCTGTTGGCGGAGAGTAATAGGAGAAACGCAGTGGCTTCAATATCCGCGAGATACAGCGGTTTACGCTTATACGACAAACAAACACCAATTCAACCCTGGAAGCTTCTAGAGACGTCTACTCTGCTTGCGTTGACGTCGCTCGTTCTCTCACGCACCGCGAGGATCCGATCAAGGACGTCTGGACTGGACCGCAGTAAACGCTCGCGATTCTTCTTTGATGTCTGCGTCATTGCCACGATCTTCTTCGCGTCAAGGACTTCGACTCCTCTCCCCCCGCCTCCCGTAACGGCCACCCCACTCCTTGGACTCGAAGGCCGCTCCGCCCCGCTTTTACCGATTGCTGAGGTGCTGTCTGATGAGCTGGCTATCGGCGGCGTTACAACACTGCCACGGGTTGTTGCGGAACCAGCAGCGGCAATGGCAGAGCCAGACGCGGAAGGAAGAAGAGAGGGTTCGCTGGCTTCCAGGATACCGGCTTCCTGCGCTTGCTCGGTGGCCTTTTCTGCGGCGGCGATGGGCTCGTCGAGGATGGCGTGCAGCGTTCCCATCAGTCCGGCCCGCAGCAAAGGAGTGTCCACCTCTGTGCGTGTACACCAACAAGCGTGTTGCCGGTCAAGTGGCGGTGCGTGTCGTAGGCGACGCAGATAGATGTGCATCCTTGGGGGGGGGGGGAGACTACACGATAAGGTACGCCGCATGCCTTGCTTGGCTACATGGTGAGGTGTTCGCCGGAGGATCACAGGTCTTCCATGCTTCGGCGACGTGCCAGTTTAGATAGCGGTATCGAATCGGGCCATTACAGTTTTGTTCTTCATCACGGAGCGAGGGTGACGGACGCAATTGCAGGTGTGTTTCGAGGAACCAACCAAAACAATATGCTGTTTCATTTTGTGTTATCCAAGTCGAGAGTGCAACCCGTAGCGCCGAAAGAGGGTGCTCGAGGTTGGTGCCTGCAGCACAACAACACAATTCACCTTCCTGGTTACGGATGAGGTGCTCGATCGCGGAAAGGCAGGCGAGACGGCCGTCTGGTGAGGCAGAATCGGCCTCAAGCGCCAGCCACGATGTCACAGACGACTCGCTCACTGGGTGAGCCCGGCTGACATTCTGCAGACACCGCCGTTACACCAAGTCGAAGTGAACAGACAAGGCGGGGGGAGGGGGGCAAACAGAGTTGTAGTGATGCACGAGGCAACACGAAATACGTATAGAGAGGCAGCCCCAAATCTTGGGATGAACAGCCCGGGACAAGACCAATAGAGGGGCATGATTCGTGTAACTTGGTTGACGAAGAATGACACTCCTTTCGTCAGGGTCAAGAGTGGTCGGAGTGGGGCGGACGTGGTATCGTTGCGCCAGAGCATCGCATACGCTGCAGACCAGCATCGTTTGGAAGTGATGCACAACTTGCCAGTCAGGAATTAGAAGTTGTGGAGCAACCAAAGCCCGCGCAAGAACAGTGCCGACCACGATGATTCAGTTGAAACAACAATAAATATTCCAGCGAGATAGAAATGTGGCGAGGGGCGTACTCTTGTTTGATTTACAATAATTTCGTCAGATCATTTGTTTACCGACGCTTGCAGGTTGTATCCACCCTGCGAGCTTGCCCCTCAAACTGAAGAGCTCCGGGGCTTGAGCACAATATTGAGGTTTCAATGGCTCACAACACACCGCCTTGCCGTACCTGCAAAAAGAATGCGACGCAATCCACACTGGCTTCATTGGGGAGGTTAATCTCGACCAAAGTTGTGGCCAAGGGTGCCAAGTGGGTCTCCAGGTCTCGAGTCCGGCTGAGGCACGCAGCTGCCACGCAGCAACTCTGCGGTAGTCACGAACAACGGCAAAAGGCAGGTAAATACTATGTGCTGGCTTGCGCATGCGTCGAGTTATCGGATTGACGGTTGCGCCACCATACACGTTGTGACAAGGTACACGTACTTGCTCACGTTTCATGTTTGAATGGAGTCCTGCAAATCATTTCAGCGACCCGACGAAAAACGAATCGGCGGTTTAATTGTTTCGTTGCCGACTACGAAAGAGCACGAATTATTGGTACCCCGGATTGCAAGCAGCCGATCTTCTCCACCGTACACACTCCAGGTCTGCCCGCTTGTCTTGCGTCTCTCTTCGATTAGCTCCACACAGTGGCTGTGAATCAATGCGAAATCGATTCTACAATGATGCCCAACAGAGCAAAGCTACAAGTCCAGAACGTAGGTAAGCAGCTGGTTTCAAGTATCGATTAGACGTGCAACTCAAGCAAACCGCAACCATGAGCATAGTTACCTTCTCGCTCCCTCTCACTAACCATGATCACTGAACAATAAACAGCGGCCTAGGTCTATATCCCGAGAAAATTTCCAGGGGAAGACTGTTGGTAACTAGAATTTGTTTTGTTCGCAGCGCGCCTACAATCATTCATCGGCACCGAGGCTACCCTTCCCCCAAGAACAAACTCTCTTTACATACCGTCAGACCTGAATTAATAGCCCAGCTCACCTCGACGAGCTTCGGCTGTTCGGAGAGCAAGCAAAGCACGGTCACGATATCCTTCTGCTTCACCAGCTGAGCGTGAGCGCTCTTCAGATCCGCCAAATTGACCGATGCGGAAGCTAGGTAGGCTAGATTCCCCGGTCGTTTCAAGTTCAGCTTGACCTGCAAAAAACGGAAGGGAATCTTGTATTGCATGCTTCCAAGAGTCGTACAATGTCCTGAGGGTTCCTCTCTTCCTTTAAGCACAAGAACAGCGCTCTCTTTTGCCTTTAAGGAAAGCAGCTCTTTTGAAGATATCAAGAGCCGGGACGAAACTCTGTCCGACGATGGATGAACACACATTCACACACACACACAACTCTTGTCGAACACCGCCTACCTCCAAGCCACAGGGGGATCATGTCATCATGTTTCGTGTCTGCTTTCAAGCACACACCCAATACGGCAACACGGTGTAACCGCAACGTTTGAGACCCCTCACGTCCTTCCTTTGAGTGAAATCAAGATCAAATGGAGTCTTTATAGGATGCATTCCAAGGGAATGTAAACGCCGTCGAAGGCTGCCTTATGTGTCGCGAACGGCGAACGTACGCACTACCACTTAAGATGGCAAGATCCTTCAAAGGTGCCACCTCCTCTCTCAATCGAAACATCATCCGCGTGTGTGCCGGTGAGAAACACGTGCGTCTTGACTTACCAAGGGCAACAGCAGGTCCACAATGCCGGAGTCAGGAATTCGAGACAAACATGTCGGTACCGATGTGAGTCCCTGAATAGCGCGACACACAAACGTCTGAAGAAAAGCGGGCATTTTCACAAGAAGAGTGTACGGCGGCGAGGGGATGGAAGTTCTGCTCAGCGTCTCCGACTCAAAATGATTACCTGAACTTTCGTGCGTCATCGGGTGAGCAAAGCTTCGCTCGCGTGATGTTTGAGAATTATATGGTTTCTCATGACATGGTTTACCGCACAACACCATGGCCACAATATTGCCGTTAGGCGTGTTTGGTTTTGAGCCAAATAGGCACTCAATGTTGTTTGTTGTCATGTGTTCTATGGCTAGGTAGCTCCTTGAGTTCATGCCACATTAAGTGTCGCCGATGGGGTTCTCAGGGTTGCTTCATTCCACATTCCTCGTGGTAACCTTGCCTCCCCTCCCCACTCTGTACCTGTACGGCTTCTGACTCGTTCCTGGCAAGGTCCTCCATAGCAGAGCAAAGCGTCAACATGTACCTGCACGGGGAAGTCACGTTGCGGACAAGGGGTATCCCGGTCAACCAATCTGACCCTTGACTTGAATGAACAGAGACGTGGCGAGAGAAACCACGAAAACATTCAACAATTTTTGGCCTCGAATGAGTGAAGCAAAAGAGCGTGCAGGAGAACGACCAGGTTTCTCTTGACCTGCGTCAATTAACGCTGTTTGCATCCACCACTCACACGTCCAGCTTCGCAGCCAGCGAGGGCAAGGTCGAGGACAGCCCGCACATGTTGAGCATCCCCTTGGCGCCGATAATCTTGAGGTTAGTGGTGTGCCGCTGCATGATGTAGCACAGCGCCTGCGCCGCGTTGAACTCCGTGACGAGGCGCTCGTGGTTCCGCGCCTCATAGGTGCAACGGCACAAGGCTGTCGCAACGTTTGATAAGGTGATGGGGTCCCGCGTCTTCACCCCGTTCACCAAGAAAGCGAGTACCTGCCAAGCGTGGGGTTGAGAGGGACGGATTCGACAATGCTGACTGCGCAGAGAGGTAGAACACTTGTTTCGGTTGTATGTAGTACACAGAAGAGCTTAGCTTGATTTTGCTACGAGTGTAGGTCTTTTCTTAACCAAGCACGAACGTGGAGTTTCCGTATGCATTCTGCAACTGAGGGTGGACCCCCTTCGGGCTGAGTGCTCATCCTTTGCCTTTCTCGCTCCGATCACAAACGTAGTTGATACAGCGCGTGCTGATTTTGATTTGAACCGCACCTGATGGCCTTTCGCTTGAATCAGTTCCCAACTGACGTCCCTGGTTGTTGTGAGATTGGCAAGACAACCAGAAACAAGTCTGTGTGCCGGCACGCTCTCAACGTTGATCAGCTTCATCAGAGCAACCACCACGCCATCTTGCACCAACTTCGTCTGAGCGTGTACGTGAGGGACAGACGTGGAACGTGGGAATCTCTGTCGCAGGATGAAATAAACAACGTAGGATCAACATTCGGAATCATGTGCACTTCCGCGTACTTTTTCCTATGGACCGACCCACGCTACAGGTGTGATTTCCTCGTCGTCTCTAGGGAAACCACACGACGCGATCTATACCCTCACTGACTATGTTGGAACTTTGCGTCGCTCCGGATTCCACACCTCACTATTTTGTGGGAGCCACTCTACTACCGACCGATTCTGCAGCAACCGGCTGAACTATCTGTTCCAATTCACCTCCCCTCCAGGCTCCAATGACATCCTGAACAGCGCTTGAGCGGCCTTGATCTTGAGGATCTGACTATGATCGTTATCCTCGATGACGCCATCGTGATGCCCACTGCCCTCTCGGCCGTCCCCCCAGCCCCCTCCACCGCGAGTCTCCTCCGTGCCTTCTCCGCCTTCCCCGTCGTCAGTCATCGCTACCCCACCGGGGGCGCTCCTACCATGCTTTGTGGACCCAGGTCCACTCCCAGACCCTCCCGGCGCGGTCTGAGCGCCTTGACGGGCGCCTCCCATGGCGCCACCCATGGGCCCATGCCGGTCCTCACCGCTCCCTGCCACGCCGCTGGTACCCGCGCCCCCTCCGCCCCCACCCCTCTGGCCGCCGTCCCCTGAAACGTTTTGGCGCATGCCCGGCGAAGTGCTGAGGCGCTTGTTCCGGTTGCAGATGATCTGCATCCTGTCCACCGTGCGAGAGGTCAGTCCCACCCGACTCATCTGTATCATGCCGGTGGTGAGATCGGCGTCCGAGTAGCCGAAGAGCTTTCGCCCTCCGTTGTTCGGGTTGAGCAACACGCTCGCCTGGTTGCGTCGGCAACAAGTGATTTGGTTGGAAGCGATCGTTCAAGGGGCAATGAGAAGGAAGTGATTGTTCTTGGAGCTCACCATTCAGAAAACCGTCGATATCCGTATACTTCAAAACTAGAAGATGACAACATGTGCGCCCGAACATTAGTCCTTTCCAAAAGTATTGTTGCAAGGAAATCAACTGACGCCGCGACACAAGCCGCAAGATTCCCAACCGGTTACATGCTTATGTGAGGCAGAGTCACAATTCGTCGCCCTTCACCCAGACCAAAGCAACCGGCAGTCTTAGCTCTGCTTGCCTTGGTAGGGCGTTTCGGCTTTAGTGGTCGATTTGGTGCGCTGCTCTCGCTGAGTCGGCGGCCGCGAAGGTTTCGAGTTGCGTGTGGCGCACCAAGTGCGGCTGTACTGCTGTTGTGTCCCGATGCTTTTGAGACTTGACCAGCTGATGCACCGCCGGCAGCGGCTCCACCGGGGTGGACAGCGTCGTTCGACAAGATGCCTGCGAAGCTTCCCGACGCGGTGCGGTGCTGAGGGTTGCGAGGCTCGGAGTCCCCCGAGATCGTTGTTTTTGTCGGCTGTGCGCTGTTTGCATCGTCGTTCATCCCGTTTGTCATGCCACCGGACCCTAAGCTTGCCCCCCCGTCAAGAAGGGATGCACTGTCCATCGATGAGGTGTGTCCTGCGGCGTGTGGCGGGTCGCTACCACAGCCGCCACTGCCGCCACCCGTGCCTCCTGCGCCGACTGCATCAACTGCACCAACTGCGGGTTCGGTCTGGTGATTGCCACCAGAGCGTCGCGCTCTGGCGACCGAAACTGGAGCCAGCGATAGGAAGGCCGCGTTGTTGCGAACATACCGCTTCAACACCGCGACCAGCGAGTCTTCGGTCGTGTAGTCTCGAAAAAAGTTGGGGATTGACTTGTGCAGGCGAAATTTCTTAGCCAGTTCCTTGAGATTATCAAGATGTATTACTCCTGAGGAGGACCATGCGTTCTTCTTCTCAAAGCACCCTGGAGAAAAAGCACGCACACGAAGCGAACAGCAAGCCTATAGAGGTTGCCGTGCACCAGGTACATTCTCTAGACCACAGCCCAAACTTTAGATGCGACGATCTTGCATTGCGACGACATGCAACTAACTGCCGTGTAGCAGTATTGTGACCAAACTCGCTCTAGTTTGTAGAGATATGTAGTACAATGGATGACACACACAAGTAGGTTGTCTCAGGAACAGAGAAGTGTCATAAAAAAAAACATGCTTCAGTGGACTATTGAAGTACCACATTCAGAGCCTTCGGCTCATGTTTCTGCCGCTGAGTGTCAGTCTACACAGAAAGGCTACTGCATGTTCTCTGCTTGTCTACATTTAGTCGACAGGCGCAAGGCTGCACACTACTGTATCTACACACACCATATTTCTGTAGCCATGGGCGCAGCGATTCCCTGTCTTCAAGCTGCCGCAACTCGGTGAGCCATGCGTCCCTCCGCAGCACACACGCTGGTTTCTTCCGCAGCATGTCCCCGCTCATTTTCTTGATCAAGAAACCCGGTGAGCTACAGAACAACCGAGGGTGGAATCGAGACTGCTGTGACAGGACACGGTGTACAATCCACCTAGTGGCTCAAGAAAAGCTTCCCTCCAAGGAGCGGCCTAACAAGCGCGACTGTCAACTGAAGTCATTTGTTTACTCGTCTGCGTGTGTGTCCACCTTTGCTCCTATTCGTGTACGTACGCGGAACGATTACTGAACCTCGGCAGGAAGACGAAGAGCAACATCACGAAAACCGTTAGGGCCGGGGGAGGTACTGAACCACGGAGCCCCGGAACGCGGGGCAACTCCACTCACTTGCATCATGCTGCTTGATCACAGCTCAGCCCAGCGCCAGGATCGGGATCCCTCTCCTCTGTTCTCCTCTGCGAGCTGCGAGAACTCCAGAAAACGACACGATATAGGACAAATCATATTGCTGGCGAAGACCGAACGTTTTGAGTCGAAGAGAGCCGAAGGCCGCTGGGTGAGGGCATCAATCCGAGTCATCGTTGTTGTACAGCTACACCCGAGGAAAATTATCAGAACGTACGGTAGATGATCTACCTGCAGAAGAACGTTCTCCCGTATTGGACGCTGCCGTAACTCGCCAGAGACACACCGGCAGCGGTTCACGTGACTTGGTTGCACAAGGGTTTCCGACAGGGAGGTTCAAGGCAAGGATGTCTTCCGAAGCCACCGCAGCAGCACCAGCAGCACCAGCAGCACCAGCGAAACCGGATCACAGAATCGGAGTTCGAAGCGTACCGAGCATGCGGACCAACGAGGTGTGGCACGTCCGACACGGCGAGCGATGTGACGAAGTACGGGGAGAAGAGAGACGGGCCTGGGAAAAGTCACCCAGATGCAAGGCAGGCGGGTGGTTTGATCCATTCCTCACAAGCTACGGTCATGTGCAGGCGTGCAGAGCTGGACAACATCTTAAAGGCCTGCCGTTCAACCGGCAGCAGAAACAACCGGGGAGCTTCGACGTCGTGTTCACATCGCCACTGGTTCGAGCCGTGCAGACAGCTGTCTGCATCTCGCAGAGCCTCGGGAACCTCCCGTTGCAAGTGGTGCCAGGTCTCTGCTCGTGTACCGCTGCGCTGAGGCACATCGGCTACTCAAGCGCCGAGGCCACTCTTTTGACCGACGAAGACATCATCGAAGCTTTTCCGGGGGTCACCATCGTGCCTAGGGATCCGCTTGCACCAACTTCATTTGGTGGTGCTGCCTCGTGGCTAGCCGCCAAGGCCTGCGAGAAGCAAGGAGCAGGCAGCGATGGCGACGGTGAATGCTTCTCGCGCGTCTTGGCTGTGGGTGAGTGTACACTTAGACCCCAACCCTAAACCACAGATAACACGTATTGTTCTTGTTCGCAGTCTCTACCCTTGTTATGGCCTCGCGTCTCGTAGTTATGAGCTCTGACCCGTGGTTTACTCACGTGAACGCTTATTTGATTTTTGGGAAGCACTACAGAAACTCGCTGTATCTACATGTGTGTATATCGTCGGCTTTGACATCATGAATACGTTTGGACGTTGCTCTACACATCAAATGGTTTCATGTTGTTGGTGGGTCGGCACTCTTTGCTTATGTACTGATGACGCTTATTTTCGTATCGCGCGTACTCATCACCAGGGCACAGGGAGGGCACAAGAGCGATGGCAGGGAGGAAAGTACCCACTCCACACTGCTGCATCGGCATATTCAAGGTAAACGCACCGGAGAAAAAGTTGTGCACGTACGAGATACACGACCTGCTGTCGAACACAGGAAAGTCGCTCAAACCCAAGGGAGAATCACCTTACGCGAGACCGACTTCGACCATGATGGAAGAGGAAAGCCGTCCGAGGAATGAGCATGAGGACGGCGGGGGCGAAGTAGAAGCACTGGCCGCAAGGGTAGCTGCATTGACTGTCAACATGAAGGGCCCGAAGCCCAGGGCTAAGAACCATTCTGGAGCCAAAGAGGATGCTCAGCGACGGGCAAGCACTGGCAGAGGTGCTAATTCTCGCGAAAACAGTGGGGGCCGTCAAAATGATCAGGATAGACGCTCGTCGTCGAGGCCTACGGGGCTGATGCGAAGGCTGCGCGGCGCTTCCAAGTCGTTGCTGTCGGCGGCGGGAACAAGCAAGCAACCCATAGCTGGGAGAAGCACTGCAAGCGGCCCGCAAGCAGGTAGAGGGAAAACGACAGTCCCGGAGATTTCGACACAGAAGTCTACTCGTCGATCAACAGGCAAGGGAACAGCTGTTGGCGTAGTAGGGGGGGGGAAAGGTGGTGGGGCAGCAAGTGGAGGCGGGGAGCGTATAACGGAGCCACCACCGCGGCGAACGCCCGATAGCGGCTCCCAGAAAGTCTCTTCTACCACGACAATGAAAGGTGATCTTGTTTCCGGTGGTCCTGTGTCTGCGGCCGGCGGGGGGAAGAACGTTGCACCACGAGAGGGCTCCCTCGCCGGGCGTGGTTTTCGCGTCGCTGTTCACCGTTCGTCACGACGTCGTGCCGTGGGCGGTGGCTCTACGTTTGCAGGGTTCTTAGGGGTTCCGGTCGACGTGCTCTGCGGCTCATCTGGCGTGCTCTCGTTTCTGTCTCCCACTGAGCTGTGCACGGTGAGAGAGTAGGTTCCTCAGACAAAGAAAGTGCAATATAGAAAACGTGTTCAACAGAGTTAATTGCCCCCACGTCGTGATCGAGATATCACTGGAAAGTTCCCGATTATCCCAGGTATTTTGTGTGCATGTTTTCGATTCCACTTTTGAGGACCGGAGCTCATGCCGCTCCTATATGAATGTATTCCCCACGAACCTGTCCCCCCCCGTCATGTGCCCGCCGATCCAACACAGGCGCAAGCGATCTGCACCTCGATTGCCCCCGCCACAATGAACGAGTATCTCTGGGGTGAACTGTACGCGCGGCTCCCAGAGGGTCTGAAGAATAGGAGCAAGGGTGTCCTTCCCGCAGGTGGAGAAAGCGAAATTTACCCAGAAAAAGCAGCAGCACACGTGCACCCTAAGGTTCTCTTCGCGATTGCTGTATCCATCGCCTCGTCTATGCACGCTGCCAAGATTGCCAAGAAGGTGGCAACCGTAAAGAGGAGAGTCGGAGTCATCTACAACCTGCGCGTCTCGGTGGTCGCCATGCGTGGGGACATTTCGGTGACAATTAACGGCAAGTCAGTTAGTGTTGTGCAGACAACAGGCGCAAAGACAGGGGCATGGGTCTCTCGACCTAACATTGTGAGCGAGCCGTCTGTCAACCACAACGGTGTCAGGACCTTCTCTCTGAGCAGCTCCGCGAAAATTGACGTACCCACGAGCCTTGAGACCGTGAAGGACCTTCGATCGATGTGTGTGGCTCTTTCCTGGCCCGGCAAGGAGGCCACCTTGCTCCCACGGATTGTTGTGGCCCGAATCGACGAACGGCCTGTTCTCTCACCGGCCCGAGCGCTCGGAAAGAGCGTTGATAACGCTATTGTACTGTACGACATTACGGGGAGCAGCAGCAGCAGCTCGAGCAGCAGCGAAAGAGGCGGTGGTCATACCTGTACCACGAGAACCACTCCCTCTTCTCCCGTGCGGCGCGGCTGTGCCCTGCTCGGAGTGCTTCCATCCGGCAGCCACGGTGGTCAACGGGACTCCGGCACAGATGATGGCGGGGTTGCTTTTTTGACGGTTCACTTCCCTCATGAGTTGCTGCTTGACGTTGCAACCCATGGTCCAAGGAGGGCGACAGAGAGGAATGTTCCTAGCGGCGGCAGCAGTACCCGTGGCCGGTATCTCGGCGACGACTCGGCCGGCCCTGGGCACGGCCTCGAAGGCTTTGCGACTGCGCTCGGCCTGAGGACGGCGGGAGTTCCCTTATGGGAGAAGGCATCGACCGCTGTGGATGGTCGTGTCTGCCCGCCGCGCAACGTGGCGCCCCAGCTTCAGCAATCTCCCGTGGGCGATGACCCCGGAGCTGCAGTGGTTCGTATCGATATTTTGCACCCTGGCGCAAACAATGCTGCAAGTTTCGGTGGTGGTGCGGCGGCCGTGTCTGACCCGGATCGGACACTCAGCTCTGGCCCCGGGGTGCCCTATTACACGCCAGGCGGTCTGTCAGGCACTGTGGCGGACGTGCTACTGGCGGATTTCACTCTCTACGACCCCGACGGCGCCTCTATCTGGGCCTTTACATTACCCATCGTGTTCGCAGCCTGTCCAGCTGAGGGATCGGCACCTAACCCCGGGGGCAGTTCGAGGGAGGAGGACGACGACGATACCATTGACATGGCACGCAGGGAACTTCGGGAGGAGCGGCGGCGTGGCATCGTGACGGAGTCGGGGGTGGGCAGGGTCATCGTCGAACTGGCGTTGGTGGAGTCACCGACCGAACGTGATGAGAACGATGTCGTAGGGTCATCGCAGAAGCGCTCCTGCCCGGCTGGGCATATGTGGGTAGTTCGGTCGGCAAGGGTAGAGCTTGATCTCGGGTTCGTGAACACGTGGTTCGGCACAAAACACGGGAGTCCCTAGAATGGGGTGCGGAAAAGGAAATGAAAGCTTACCTTCGATTCCCTGTACAAACCAATGGTTCGTGATCGCTGTGTGCCATCAACATGCAAAAGTCTGCGATACTCTATTACTGCACGGTCGATTGGGTTTTATTGTCAACTCGCCACTGGAGCGCTTCGAATTGGATCAGTCTATAACTTGAGCCATGAGTCGTGGTGTTGCTCGCCCGTGCTCGGTATGCGGTGATGTTTCGATCGGACGCGTTCGTTCAATTTCATAGGTGCGCAGTAAGCTGGTACACGTCGCACATTTTGAAGGTGGCAGCGAGAGTGGGAAACAAGACACTATTCGACTTGGGTTTGAAACCAAGTGTTGAAGAGGAGACCGTATTTCATGCCAGCCGTTCAACATACTTTTTCGTATCCTGTGGTATATGTAGAATCCATGTCCAGGAACATCATACGGTATTTCTCCCGTCGCAGTTCACATCTTATCGTGAAGGCTCACAACACAAAGGGCTTCGTGTGGACCACCAATCAACAGGCACACTGGATGCTCTCGGGTTAAGATATACAAGCAGCTGAGGAACCACTAGCTGCACACGCCCTCCATGATACAAAAACAAGAATATCAACGTGTAGACAACAATTTTGTACCGCTCGTTTGGCGGAATTCCCGTGCAAACAAGAACCATGTCCTTCCCTCCGCTCGGGCGGCTCCCAATCTACCCTACAACGCCACCCTCGCCCGAACCAGCGGCAGCAGGTACGGCCGGTGCTGGTGCCGGTGCTGCATGGCTACCCCCGTCCTCGTCCATTGGAGCCAGGCCCGCGGACGCCGCGGGGGGCTGCTGTGGTGGCGGCCTCTGTTGCTGCTGCAAACCGGATGGCGGTTCCTGCCGCTCAACGTTCATGCCCGTCGGAGTCGCAATAGCTCCCGCCTCACCACCGCCCGGCACGGCTCCTGATTGTTGTTGTCGATGGGCATCAGCACTACCAGCAGCGTTAACTACCCTGTCTCTACCACCTTGTGCGTCATCGCCAGCGCCAGCGCCAGCGCCGTCCGTTTCCCCATCATCGGCTTCTGGCTCCTCCATCATGTCGCCGCCTGCCTCCCCCTTCTTTGCTGCGGCAGGCCCTGCAGCCCCCATTGCGGCCTTGCTCTGTTTCTTAGCGCTGGCCTCACGACGGTACTTTTGTTTCAGCAACGGGTAGGGAGGACAGGAAATCGTGCACGCCAGCAGCGCAAGCATATGGGGGAAAGGGTGTGTGACTGAAAGGAGACAGGGCATCCTTGGACACACCCCCACATGACGCGACCACGCGGAATTTGATGTCGTCCATGAAAGCAGCCGTTACCTATACTGCAACGAAACAGACCGGTATGAAGTTGTACAAATTCAAACTCAATCCATCATAGCATAAGTTTACCTGATCAAGGTACTCTTTGAGCGGCTCCTCTAGCTCTCCAAACTCCAACTCCTTGATGGCCTGCATGACGTCCTGGGCGCTGATAGTCTGACGCTTCGCTTCTCGGCAAAAGTCATTCGCACATGCCGTCAGGTACCTGTTCACCAACATTTCGTACATCGAAACAGACCCAATTAGTTTCTCGATAAACACTCTGGAACACGGGAGTGGACGACAGAAACACGAAATCTGTTCCATGAATTCGGACGGTGGTCACGAAGTCACTCCTGCTGTAGATGGCAAACGGCAAAAACGGATTAGCGAACGGCGCGCGACATAATCGTAAAAACATAATCTCGCCAGCAGTCCCAGCCACATGCATGATTCACTCACATGATGAAGATACCCGCACTGCGCGAGAAGGCTGCTTTGGCATCCTTGCCGATCTGAACGTTGTCAGGGAGCACCGACTTGATGACTCGTTGCACGCACGCCTATAACAGGAGCACAGGTGCAAAAAAGAAAGGGCGTCATCATCAGGCAAGGTGGGACGCGAAAATCAAACAAGGCAATGTGGTGGGGGGTGGGGGAGTGTGCACATGCGCGCGTTGTCGTTGTGCGTCTCGTCCACCAACAAAAAACCGTGGGCTGCGCCGAACTGCTCCACCATCGCTCGGACTAGCAGCAGTAGCACAAAAAATCTACACTTCAAAGTATTATGTAGGAGGAACAGAGATGGAAAAAGAAAAATTGTTCGCAGTGATTGCCACGCAATACAGAGGCAACATTCGAGAGAGTCAGGAGCTCCCTCTTAATCTCCAAATGCCAACCTTTTCCACAGGAACACAGGGATACGAGCGTGCTCGGTGAGATCCACCCACCCACCCACGCACCCAGCAGATATTTTTGCTCAGTTGTTCTCCGACAAACTGGTCGTGAACAGTTAAGGAAATGAGTGTCGCTCATTGTATGTATTTGCCCTTTCCTATTCACGAGGAGTACCAACACCGACCCTCGTGGGAGGTATTGCCACTGTTTGATCTCATACTATGATGCTATGCATTTCTGAGGAGAAGAACTCACGTGAATAAAAATCTCTTTTGTTTCACGCGCGGAAATATAAAATAACATACAGAGAGATGCACAAGATGGCTACCAAACTGTCTTGTTGAGCCTGTTACCCACAGGGGGGATACCGTTGTGTGCTGCTCGGGAAATCGTGGAAATACAGGTAGCCTTCGCTGACGCTATGGATTCATTGCTATTAATCGATCTTAGACTCAGATAGAGATGGTTTCGTTGGGTCATATTTCGAAAAAAAAAAAAAATTAATAACTCTGTATCACACATCCCGCGAAGTGTTCGGCGGGACAAGGGAAAACCACATCACCGATAGAGCAAAGAGCTTCCTCAACGGTACTGCTCCTTGTGCCTTCACGACTAGGCTACTGGTCCAATCGTTAAACCATGGTAGAGGGTAACGCTGTTCTCCTCCTTGTTTTACGTGGCCATGCTGCTGCTGTAGATCAGATAATCTACCGCCACCGCCAGCACGAGCTCCAACAAAAGCACGCACCGCAGTTTGAATTTCAAGAAACTTTCTAAAAAACTTGAAGGGTTTGAACGCTCGCCCCCCTGCCACCAAGAAGAACTTTGTCCTACCGTAGACGCGATTCCCTGTGACCTGAGAAGGCCACAGAGGCAAGACCAGCATAGTCTTGACGCAACCACCTTTCGTACGAGCGCATCCATAGCAGTACGAGGGCTCTCTTGCCAGCTGCATGCCGGCTGCCTCTGGGATGTGAACCAAAAATTGGTATGGTGTCCTCCCTTGCTTACCACACGAATCAAGATTCCTACACCAAGACCAACAATAGATGGAAACCACACGACTCCCCTTCCACTAACCTGGGGAGGCTCAAACTCGGGGGTCTTGTTCTCGGCCATGCTCTCTCGCTGTGTGGTGTAAGCACTCCAGTCCGCTGCGAGTGCCCATTGAGGGGGCGGGGGGGGGGGCGCGGAGCGGGAAACATGGGGTATCCATCTTCGAGCCCGCATTTGCTCCGCACATCCACACTAGCCGCGCACATCCACACCAAGCACCAAGCAAACGAGGTGCTGCCTGTAAGCTTGTTGGAGAATGTGGCTTCTCGATGTGCTGGACCCAAAGACTGGAGGCAAGTTGAACCAAGTTTTCTTCGAGATTCTATGCGCAGAACATCCGTGACCGTGCTCCTTCCACATACCCCCTATTCTGGGCACACGCAAATTTGCAAATTTGATTTCAAATGTTATGTCTATGATACGTTGAGACTACTTCATTGCTGTGCATACTGCCGTAGCCTACATGGAGAGCTGTAGGGACAAGAAGTGGAACGTTTGAACCCCGCAGAGGTTGTCGTTCTCTCTCTCTTTCTCTTTCTTCGTGTTTCTCACCACGACTGACTGCGTGCCGGGTTTCACCAGACGTGAGCACCACCGTGGCTATGGCAGAGGGAATCCATACCTTGGGAAGAAAGGGCTCAAGTGTCTCCTTTCCTGAAGATAGGTAAGCCAGTTACCAGCGGATTACCGCTATGCAGGCATATGGCAGAGGCGTGGTAATGTATACGTAGTCTACAGCTGCTGTGTTCGGGGTCTATATGTCTAGCAGTCATGTGCTTCTTTCATTAGCGTCGACCGCGCTAAATATTTGATATTGTCAAGTCAGTCACCATCTCACCAATAAAAGAAAACGCGGGACAAAGACAACCAAACGCTAACGCTTTCCGTCCCACCCACAGGGAGGGACTGATCCCTCTTGCTATCCATTCTGCATACACTGCTTCCGCTGTAGACAACAGCTGTAGACCAGCAGCCGACAAATGTTTGAAAAGGGTGCCGTATCATCCATGCCACACGGAGAGCCAATCGCCGGGGAGGCAGTTTGTGATCCCTGGCTGCTCTCCATACTGCTACACTGTCCTTCGAAACGGGAATATCAGCGAGGCATGGAATGATCACATCCATGCCATACCGCACGCATATATGAGCCGTCCACACGGCGTCATCCATGGACAGCGGACTGACACAAAAAAATCTCGGATATCCTATACTGCGGGAGATTATCTCCCTGCCGGTCTGGGTGTGCGTGCGACTGTCTGTTAGGGATGGGCGTCTCCGTAACCGTATAGCACGAAGCACACGCACGACTGTTGCTTCCATGTCTCTCAAGCACCCCACACAAGCATGCCGTCTAATTCAGTGCGTCATCCCCGTCGAAAGGTGCACGTGTGTAGGCATCTGCAGCAGTAGCTTGGCGCATCACGCGTAATGTTGTGCTTCCTCTCCTATCCACGCCTCTACAACCTCACCCCACACCAGGTTGACGTTTGCGTTGAACCGGCTTGGTGTCCCTCGGCAATCAGGATGATCTTAGGTTCTTTCTTCGGATATTTGCTTGTGCAGGTCGGTCTCGCGGAAGCACGCGGAGATAAGGGTGGGGCCCGTTCCGGGGAACGATCCGACCGAGCAGCCCATCTGGGTCAAGGTACATACGCCACGGTTCCCGTTTTTCCTGACCGGCTTGGTTGAGGAACAATCTCGTGGAAACCCAGTTCTGAACGTCGAGACTATCTGCAACGGCAGGGCCCGAGCAGAATCAATAATTTTCGATGATTCTACAGAACTGAGAGTTGTACGACTGAGGGTCGCTCGCGTTCAAAGCATTGTTTTCGCGGTATCACGCCGGGGAAGTGTATGATGCCGCCCCCACCCCCGTATCTACCGATCTACGAAAATCCTGGAACAGCGGTACCACCTGCATATCGCACACGTCTTGCGGTGATGCCCGTGGGGAACACGAACAGGCCCTAGGTCTAGGTGATCTTCTACATGACAGTGGTGGTAGCAAAAGCAGTATCGAAGGTTTGCCTCCAACCACCACTACCACCCTGCACCTGGTTGGCTTCGCTGGCGCGGTGGACTGCCTTTGCGTTTCGTAAAAATGCACGTCGCCCGGGTCTTTTTTAATTCTTCTCTTTCTATCCCTGTCTGTCCATCTCTCTCTCTCTCTCTTTCTCTCTCTCTCTCTCTCTCTCTCTCTCTCTCTCTCTCTCTCTCTCTCTCTCTCTCTCTCTCTCTCTCTCTCTCTCTCTCTCTCTCTCTCTCTCTCTCTCTTTCGATTTGTTCGTGCCAATGACATATGTTAGTCTTGATCGTGGGTATCCGAGCCAAAATCTGGTTGACTTTTTTTTCCCTCCTTTGCATCCATGCATGCACGTCGCGCAACGATGATGCTCCGCGTTGTGTGCGTACGCGCCCCAGGACGTGGGTTCGAAGCTGAAGACCTGCGTCAACGGGAGCGAGACCGGCGAGACCCACAAGGAAATCTCCCTCAAGGAAGGGGACGAGGTCAAGGTCGGCACCACAAACAGCATCATGAGGTGAAGGAAGCACACACACACACGCACACACACGATGCGAACTCGCGATGTGTTCAAACGTCATGGGCTACTGATCGACCAACTTCCGCCAAGACCAATCGGTTGGGACCTCTGCGACAACGATAGTAACGGGGGTAATTCTTTTGGGAGTGACGGAGACGAAGGGAAGGGAAAGGGAAGAAAGGAGGACGAAAACGACGATGGAGGAGGAAAACATGGAGGAGTGGAAGAGAGCAAAGGGTTTGAGCCAGATGACCTTCCCAAAAACAAGAAACGTAGGGCTAGGGGAGAGCTGCCCAGAGATTCTTGTCAAGATGAGGATCAGAATGATGGTAGCGAAAACAAGGAGGATAATAGTGAAAGTACTCCTAAACGAACTAGAGTACAAGGTAATAGCCTTGGTAGACGCGTCCAGTTTTCTTCTGTTGCTGCTGTTTCTGTCTTTGATCCGAAGAATAGTTTAGCCTCCCCCATGCTGCCCCCTCACGGGGTCCCAGTTCATGGCAGATGCAAGTGTTTTGTGTTTTCAACCGCACTAAGACTGACGTCTTTTCATTGGTCAGCCGGTTAGCGCGGTCGATGCTAATAAGAAACACACACACACACACACACACACACACACACACACACACCACGTTTGTTCGTGCCGTCCGCGCTGCTAGTTTCAAACTTGCGGCGGACATGCGTGACGACCTTCGGCGGACGGGCCTGCCTGTTGCCACATCAGGGATGTGACCGAAACGAAAGCCCTCCTACACCCGGGTCTCGTTTCTGTTCGGGTTTGTTAGCACCCCTTTTCGAACTGCTGTCCAGCAAAAAAAAGTACACATGCCCGGATGCACCGCCCCTGCGCGCGGAACAACCCGAACGAGCAGGGTCCGATTCCAGGCGCTCCGCTTCTGCGCTACCCAGCTCACCGCCGAGGAGAAGGCGGAGCTCAAGGCCCTGTCCAAGAAGTGCGGCGGCGCGGTGTCCCGGAAGTGGGACGCGGCCAAGTGCACCCACCTCGTCACCCTCGCCAACACCAGCAGCGTCACCGAGAAGCTCGTGCTCGCCCTCCTGGGCCTCCGGCCCGTGGTCCACGTCGGCTGGCTCAAGGACCTCGCCGCGGGGGGGACGGCAAAGCCGCTGAGGCCGGTGCCGGAGACGGAGGCGTTCGGGCCGGTGGTGACGAGGTCGAGGCGGCAAGGGCCGTTCCGGGTTCGGCACACCGCCGATCGAAGGTGTATACGGGGGCGGGAGGGTGGGGGGTAGGAGGTGCTCGCGCACAGCGCTCACGCTCTTGAGAGGATTGGACGTTTGTTTTTGACTCTGGGTCGAACTTCCTGTTGTTGTTGTCGCTTCCTTTGTTTGATACCGTCTGGAAGGTGTGCTGTGAGATCGATCAACTGGGCCCGTTTCTATGCGGAGAAATCGTGAGTATTTTTCTTCCCTCCCTGTGTTGAGACTGGTTGCCGTGATCATGTCTTCTCGCCCCTACCTCTCTCTCGCGCGGGCGTTGAAGCAACGATGAAACCGATGAAGCAACCAAGTCATGAGCACCAGGAAGAGACGAGGCGTTCGATGGCCCCAAGCGACAAAAATATTTTGATTCAGCTAACAAACTCAGCGAAACGACTCATCACATCTTGTGAAAGTTCGTTGATGGTGTCATGCGTATCATGAAGAGCCCGGTACTACTTGGCATACCGTTTGAAGCGATCCAGCTGGTAGCCCTATTATCTCTTCGTCTCAACGGAGTAACGTGGGCAATGGCATCAAGACTACGCCGACCAACAGTGGGCGAATACCTCCCTTTCCCATGGAGATATTAAACAAAGATGCCCCCCCCCCCCCCACCGCTTGTCCCTGTGGCCCCTTCCTGCTTCGATTACGCTGTTGTTGCAATTGCACCTCAAAGAACCCATCTGTCGGGTGACTTTTTCGCGATTCTGCACAAGGACGAGCTCGTGGAAACGATTGTGGAGGCCGCCGGGGGAGCACTCTGCAGGTATAGAGAGAAGCAAAGAGCACACCATTTGCAGCGGGAAAAGCTCGTGTAGTCTACTGTCTTCTTCTTGGCGGCGGAATAGGCCTGGCTGAATCGGCTGCCGTCGTATCAGGGTCGTTGGTGTCGGCACACGTCATGAGCGTGTCGCACACGCATATATACGGAAGAGAGCATGCCGCGGGAGCCCCCGAAGAAAAGTGGTTGGGCACGTCACAGCCAAAACAGTAGTAGTAGTAGTAGCGCAAGGGGTTGTCACCTACGTATCGAGTAGGTGGGATACGAGTTTGTTTTCTGATGTTGTGTTTTTTTTTGTGATTTTATGTTTACGTCGCCGCAAGGCACCCGTCAACGAAACGAGGAGATAGAGAAGAAGCTGTGCGTTTACGCGATTTGGTTTCTGGCGAAAATCAAAGCGAAGATCAACGAGGTTTTTCCGTCCCGGAGCCGGGCATGCTTCCAACAATCCCCTTGTTTCCTCTCGGTCCGATGAACGCTGTTGGGTTGGTGCAGGGCGTACGCGATGAGCGATGACGACTTCGCCGGGCAGGACTGGCAGGAGTGGTCCGCGGGGCGCCAGTCGCACTTCGTCCAGGTAAAGAAAGACCAAGATACAATGTATGTTTAGTAGTTGGAGAGGGGCGCTGCATATAGCAGTTTAAGCGAGGGGATAGATTGTTGCTTTTGAAGTCTTGTCCCGAGAACGAGAGAAATCTGTCGGGTGCTTGAGCGGCGCAATCGTGGCTGTTGCGATTTGTGCTCGTTGTTCTTCGCGCCTGTTGTCGCCGACACGCGGCCTCCTCTATTTGGCATCTATAGCACGCAGCGTGAGCCGGTCATCCACCCATGGAGTTTTTCCCCCAACGGTCCCTGCGGACTTTTTTGTTTGGCCTCTTGTTTTCTTTCCTGTTCAACGCAGCCGTCGATTCCAGCATCGCAAGCGGAATAGAAGTAGCGGCTATTGTTGGGAAGTTCGCACATACCCGCCCCCCCCCTTGCACGCACACATTTTTCACAATTGTTTTTTTTAGTGACCTGAGGCCGTCTGAGATTATTGTGATCATGTTCACATTCCGCCACACCTCCGGTACGGTACTACTACCAATGACGACGACAAGAACGGCACTGCCTTTCTTGCTTAGTCTTGCTTCGTTTTTTTTTTCGCGTTGAACGAAAAAGGCGGGGCCGGAAGTTTCCCTTTCGGCGAAGGCTAAGGGCGTGCTTGCCTCGAGAGGCGAGGTGCTAGAGGACGTCGGGATGGAGGCTACTGACAAGACGCAGGTGTGTCTTTAACAGGCGTCAAGCCTGGTCTCTCGACCGGACAGGTTTCAGCCGCCCTGTTTCGCAGGTTGTGGTCGTTGCGTGTTGGGTGTGCATGTTGACGTAGCGTCGGATTAAGCAGAGGTCGTGCAAGTGACGTGTGTACACGGTTGGGTCTGACCCAGTTTTTTTTTTTTTGGCTGTAGTCGAGTTTCGCTGAGAGAGATGTACCAACATGGCTGTGTGCTGCTGTTTGGACTATGTACAGGTTCGCTTGTTTTTTTCATCTATGAGCTTTTATGTTATGGTGTTGACGACCACAGAGTGCCCCCAACTCTTGCAGAACGTCCCGTTTCTTTTGTAGGAGTGATGCTGCCTGTTTGGACTGGCTGGCCACCTGAACGCATTTTGACAGGGGAAGAGGCAGTACGGGGTTGGGACGAAGGGGCTTTGCTGGCGACCAATAGCCGCCCAGGAACGGTTGCGACGTCCCTCGTCCGTGGTAGAGGGGGTACTTGTAGGGTACTCACTCGTTGTTAAGGACAGATAGATGAGACGGTTGTCTCCAGGTTCACGTGTGAGCAAGTTCCCTTTGGGACGTGTGGTGTGGGTACACACCAGTTTCAACCTCTGGTGGAGAGGCTGACGAGTACGGATAGTTGTGTTGTGTGTCGGGTGGGGGGCAACCTTGTGTTGAAGCAAGGTTCAGCATCCAACCTACACTGACCCTATCTGAGGCAGCACCCCGAAGGTAGATCTCCGACAGGTCATCTGACGTCACAATCTACGACAGTCTGAGGTGACATTCACAGATAGATAGACAGATATCCCGCTTCATATGCAGGTAGGGGTTATATATATATATGTAGGTAGAGGTTAGGACGCTCGCCTTTTGCCGAACATGGCCTTGGGTACGATTTTTTTTGTGATGCGTGACGTCATACGTGACCATGTCATCCCGCTCTCCGCGTGTGAACCTCTGCCTCCCGTCTCTCTCTCTCTACCCCCCCCGGTACGACCTCCCGATACGAAGCTGACGGAGGCTGTCGTGTACCTCCAGTCTTTGGTCAACGTCAGAGAGGCGATGCGGGCAAGCAGCAGCTCTATCGCGCCGATGGCCGTGAACACCTCCAGCGAGGCGTGGGGGCCGTCGCAGAGCCTGGCCGCTTCCCAGGTGAAGATCGCTGGTTGCGACTGGCACAGCAGTAGAGTCCTCTGCTAGGTCCGCCCACTGAAGGAACGCCCATCTAAGTACCTCATATTGTTCGCCCCATTTCGTTCAACATTTTATTGTAGAGCCTTGGTGAGGTTGGGCCCCTGCCGACGTGAAGATTGATCATAAACGGTCAAATAGTTCATGCAAGAGAGCACCCCCCCCCCCTGCCTCCCGTCCGCACGCCCCCGGCCTGGCCTGCGCTATTTGACGATCTTGGCTGTGTGTGTGTGTCCGTTAGTAGCTTGCGAAAGGGCTGCCGGCAAGGGCTGCTGCCGCGACGGCGGCTGCCTCTGCTGAACCTGCCATGCCCCCACCTACCGGTGGCGGCAGCAGCAACAGCCGGAAGACGTCCAAGCCTGCCGCCGCTGCTGCTGCTTCCGGCGCGATGTCTACGTCGAAGATGTCTTCTTCAGCAGCAGTGGTAGCAGCAGTGGCGGCAGAGAGTGGCAGCGCGCCTGAGAGAAAGGAAGACGTTGCCGACGGGATGAGCGTCGATAAGGAGGATGACGGTGCCGTCGCCGGCGGTAGCAACGGTCAAACGGTGAAAGAACCGGAGGAAGAAATCCAAGGAGGAAGGGCCGGGAACGATCCCGTCGCGAAGGGTAAGCGGTCATCGGCAAGACAAACCCGAGGCCGCGAGCGGGAAGACGAGCCTGGTCATGCTGCTGCTGCTGGTGCTGCTGCTGCTGCTGCTGCTGAAGCAAAGGACGAGGCGAGGGGGGCCGAACGACGGGGAGGAGGCATAGCGGGAGCGGGTGGGAATGCCGCTGGCAAGGCAGCCTCGTCGGCCACCGCCGCCGCTGTGGCTGATGACGATCAAATCGGGGACGGTGCCGATGACGCCGAAGGGGTGCCGGTGGCAGGGCCAACACCGGGGGGTGATGATGATGATGATGGTGATGGTGGTGGTGGTGGGCGCGGGAGCGGCGGCGGCGACAGCGGCGGCGGCAGCGGCGGGGGACGAACGGCCAAGCGGAAGAGAGGCGGTGAGTTCGTTTCCTCCTGCACCCCCGGATTCGGGGCCTAGGGGGCAGAGACGGGGTTGCCTCTAGCAGGGGCAAGGTTGTCGAGGATTTGATGGGAAACGTGCGTGGGGGCTGTTGTAGATGGCCCTTGTTTCTGAGTGCGGGGGCATCGTAGGATGAACGCGGGATCCGAGCCGCCTTGGAAGGAAAAAAGTTTGGGCTGCCGACTTCGAACGGATGCAGATCGGTGCCAGAAATAGCATTTGGCCGCTGCGTCCGGCCCCACCCCGGGGCCCTCTTTTTTGAGCTCAGGCCATGTTGCGTCGCTGCTGCCGCATGTACTCACGGCAAAGGGTGGTGGCAGTGGCCTGTGCCAATCCTCCCGTGAGATTTTGTGCTGATTGTATGTGCTTTGCTTCTGCGCTGCTCACCCCCCCCTCCCCCCCGCACTCGCCCCTGACCCCATTCGCTGCGCTGCTCATCTCGTCGTCGTTGATCTCGACGTTAACCACACGTGTAGCGCAACCGCCGAGGCGTGGCCGGGGCGAAGAGGACGACGCAAGAGGGGCCGGTGCCGGCGGTGCAAGCGTAGAGGACCACGATAAGCAGCAAGACGAAGAGGAGGAAGAGGAGGCATCGTTGGAGAGGAGGGGGAGGGGATCACAGCAGCGCAGCAGTGTCCCCGCCCCGGCCCCCGGCGGCTGGATGACCGCACACAACGCCTCCTCTTCCCAGAAGGACAAGCGCCCCAGAGGGGGAAGGGTGCGCGTGGCCGGCGGTGTTGGTGGAGATACGGAGGGGGAGGTGGAGGAGGATGAGAACGGCGAGGAGAGGGCACGGCTGGCGACGCCAGCGGACCCGGCCATTACCGAGATGTGCAGGCAAGGTTTATGTTTTGTGCCGTGTTGTGTTGAAGTTGCTGCTGTTGTTGTTGTTGTTGCTAGACATGGTGTCGACGCTGTCGTTGTTGCGTCGAATGCTGGGTTCGGGCCAGGATCGAAACGATGCCCACGTTTTACTGCTTGTTTGGCACGTTACTCGGTGTGTAACCTGCTTGTTTGGCGCAAGATAGTGTCATTGCTTTTTTATGCACAGTTTTTTTTTTTTCCCCCGACAAAGCGTGGTCGACCTTTGTTAATGGTGTGACCCAACCGTTTAGCTCGGGTTTCCCTGACAGCCAGTGAAACGTGTACCCTTGACCCTTCTTCCCCAGCACGAAAGTATGTGCTGCTGAAACGCAGAAGAACGCGATTGGCTGCCCCACGAACACCCCCCCTCCCCCCAAATTCACGCACGCACGCACTTCCCACCCGCACCCATCGTAATTTCCCGCCTTTGCTCCTCTCCTTTGTTTTGGATGCTCGGTTCTCTCGTGCTTCGTGGCACGTCTTGTAGGCTCGTGGCCAAAGCGGTTTCGCGTTCGGCGCCGATGGGCTACTCTCGCTCATCATCGGCGCGTCCCGTTGGCGGCAGGAGGGGGCCAGCGGTGCCGAACTTTAAGCGTTTCAAGAAGGTATTTATTTGCTCTTTGATTACGCACACCAGTGCGTACGGTGTTGTTTTGGTGGAGGCGGTTTGTTTGTGCGCCTCCTGCTATCCCTCGACTATGCGTCACCACCTGTCTTGGAACAGCCACCACGCTCTTTTGTGTGTGGACACGCCGCGGTTCGGACAAGCGTATGACGCTTTGTTGTGCACGCTTCCGGTCGTAGTAATAGTACACAACACAGCAAGCGTCAGGTTCACAACCAATGTCCCTGAGTGCCGGACGCGTGATTTCTCGGGGCAATCGTGGGCATCGATCGCCGTCTTCGTTTGTTTCCTCTACGTCGTGGTTGTTTCTGTGCCGCCGCTACTGCTGAGGGCGAAACAACACACGCAACACTCACCACCTTACTTGCCCCTTGGCTCGCCTCCACCCGCAGACGCTCCTCTGTAGCACCGCCCCGACTCGCCCCCCGCCCGGCCCCAACATCGTCATCTCCCTCGCCGAGTAAAATCAACAACACTGATCGCCCCCCTTTCCGTTCGTGAAGCTGTCCCGCCGATCTTTTGTATCGGCCTATCTCCGGTGCTCGCTCTTTTTACCTGGTACCTTGCACGGACGGTGTTGCCTCTGTGTACTCGAGAGCCCCTTCCCGGGGTCAAACAGAAAACATCCCCTGTGGCACCAGGATTTTGAAACCCGCTCGCTTACCGGACTTTCTTCATCCCGTCTTTCTTCCTTTTTTTCTTTTGCGTTCATTGCGTCTTTTTTGTCGGCCGCGAGGGAAGCAGAACACCATCATGTTCGGCGGGGAGCAGGTGGCCGCCTACGTCCCGCTGGCTGCGTTGAGGTCTACCCTGCCCAAGGAGTCCGAGCGTGAGCTGGCGCTGGCCGAGGAGCAGCAGCAGCTGGAGGCGGAGGAGGCAAGAGAACCAAAAAGACAAGCATGGCCCTTCGAAACCAACCCGTTTTCGACAACCCATGGCCTTTTGGACCCAACAGTTTTCTTGTTTCATTCAAATCCAACACCTCTTTTGCTTGTCTCGGATGTAGTTTTGTTTTTGGGTGTTGCAAGAACCGCGCACGAGCGAGGGAGCGAGGGAGCGAGGGAGTAACCGCAAAGAACCAAAATGACAACGAATATCCGCCACACCCACGAACCGTGATACACGACGCCGCAACCACGGCTTGTATCGATCTCGCGCGTTTGCTGAAACTCTGACAATCACGCCTGTACCTCCCTTCCTCCCACCCACCCCTCCCGTCTTTGTGCCAACCTGGCTGACTTGTCGTCCCGACCTGGCTGGCTGGCTTTCTCTTTGTTGTCGCCTGGTGCTGCGCCGCGCATGGATAATGTAAGGCGGACGCTGACCGATTGTTCACGCAGAATGACAACGCGCGCGGCGCCGCTAGGGCACGGGCACCTCGCGGCCGGACCAAGAGGAGATGAAAGCTCGAGACCTCAGCCTTAACTTTTCTGAGTCAAGACAAAAGACGCCGCCGTGTGTCCGTTGCTTGCGGGCAGAGTGTGCGCATGTCGGGGAATCATCCGGAGGGTATTCCTTGTTCACAACGGTGTGGATTTTAGAAGAGTTGATCGATTTTTCGTCGCTTGCGCATTTCGCGGTATCACTGAGAGCTGGCCGCTCCCTGACTGGGGAGCAGAAAGAAGTGGCCAGCCCGTCGGCGTACTCTGTGTCGCCGTACCGTTGGCGATACATACGTATGCGGACGGGATCTTCGGGTTGGGTGGGGAGAAACTGCTGTTGATATAGCATCAGCCATACAGCTGTTGCTGTCGCTGCCGCCGCCGCTGGCATCACGCCATTACCCCTTCCTAACCCAAGAGTTCCTTCCTTCCCACAAGGACGGGGTGCGCAAATTTTGCGCCGCTTCTCGGGAGCGGTGTTTCCTACCTCTTTCGCCATCGTGCTGTGGTGGGGTCAGCCGGATTGAAGAGAATGAGAATGAGGTGGCTATTGACTCTTACAGGCCATATTTCTTTGCTGTTGAGCGCCAAGGCCCCGAGAGGAGTACCTCCCTTTAGTAGCACTACGGGGAAAAAGTATTGTTTCCCCGTCCTGTGTTACGTTGTCTGGGTTCGCCTCTTTGCTTGCGCACCTCGGTGCAGGGCTCTTCGTTTTTCGGAGTTGGATGCAGTCTACAACAGGTAGAGACCATGCCTTGCAGACGACGTGCAGCGGTGAGTGAAGGGAAGGAGAGTCTTTCCGTCTGCCGGCAGGGGGGGGGTGGGGGGGAGCGAGGGGCGGGCGTTTTTGCATCAGTCGTTTTGGTGATGGTGACACACATGCAGGCGGTGGGTTGGTTTTTGCCATGAATGATTGCTATCGCTGACATGGGAGGGGGGTTTTAGCCAAAAGGGGATTTCGTCTGCATGCGGGGGCCTACAGGTATGTATTTGGAAGAGCAAGATTCGTGCGGACACATCCAAAGTGGGTGCAGGAAGAACTTGTCCTCAGAAGCGTTCCGACAGCCATGGGAAGTAGGGGAACCACCCGAGATGACGAGACGACTCCCTGAAGCCTTGTTTGGTACGTGGAGTCCTTCGAACCGAGAGAGGGGAGCGGGGGAGAGCCAGCCGAAAAATGGATGTACTCTTTGCATGGAACACATCTATCTTTGGCGGGTTGGCCATTGATAAGCGGGGTCGTGTAATTAGATGGCATTGCTCGGGCGGCCCGAGCTCAATCTCAAGCTCCTTATTTTTTTCCAGATAGAGAGCGGGCTGGGGAAAGGAGGAGCTTGGCAAGCGCACAAGCACGTACATTCATATACGTCGGGTATGCGAGTTGTTTACACTGCGTATGCGAGGCTGCTCTCTGGCGTCAAGATGAAGGAATTGCAGGGAATTTTCAAATCGAATTTGTATGTACGCGGCAACTATTGTAGAATGTATGTGAGCAGCGAAGAGCTGTCTGTGTGCAGCGACGTCTACTGCTGTCTGCGGACGGTTGCGTCGCGATGGTAGATTCGTACCGGGAGCTAAACTTTTTGGCATTCGAAGATATAATTCGCTGCTGCTGCTAGAATACAGCACGCCATGGCCCACTGCTGCTGTTGTCGTTCTCGCATCCACTCTCTCTAACCCTAATTGTGCGATCTGTGCCTTCCCTGCTAGTCTCTCGTCACCTACCACACGCCGTAGGTGACTTGAGATATCACACCCCCTGGCAGGCCGATTCCTCACAGCTTGAATATTCCGCACACAGCGAGCGGAACGAAGAGTGCTGGTGTGCCGCGAAATAAGCTGGCGTCTCTCAGCTTGGGGAGAGGCGGAGTCTTTCATGTGTACAAAAGGATGAGTGGACAAACCGATCGCAGCAGGGGTGTGCCCAGGCCATCGTCTCAGTATTGAGCTACTATACATAGTAGTGCTGTGAAAATAGAATTCGCCGGCGGTGGGATCGGCATCATCCTCCCAACTCCATATCGGTCGTCTTTGACTTCTAAAAAGCCTGGCTGGGGCGGGGTATCTGCTGGCACGGAATATACTTTCAAGCAGGCAAGGTGCAGGTACAGCAAAAGTGTGACACAACGACACAGCAACTCGACACAACTCTCATTCTCTGCAAATTCATGTGAAGACAACAACAACACAACAAGTGCGGTATATTGCACCGCAGCAGTGCGGCACAACAATACGGCTACGGGACTGTCGTGTAACGCCATTCTATTTTTTGCCTGCGGCCTACGGTTTGTCGATCTTCTTGTTGTAGACGACACGCGACACATTGCATGTACACACAGCAAGGACCGCACCACACGGCAAACCAACTCCATAAATCGTCTATGTGCAGTAGTACGCTCACAGGCTCATACACAACAACCCGACACCATGAGTGACGCCACGGTCATCACACACACACACACGCTGTGCAGACTGCACGCGGAAGTGACGCAGACGAGGCATGTCTCTGTTTTTCGTTTGCACAAGGGCACGAAGCACACCTTGTGCGTGCCACTTGCCACAGGGAGCAGAACATACCTGCATCCTGCACATACCACAACGGCTCCGAATGGGAGGTGGGTTCTGTAATTAACCAGCACACACAGATATATATATGTAGCGGCATGCGCGTGGTGGGCAAATTGATTCTCAGCATGAACAACATCATCAGCTCATTGAGGCTTACTTATGTGTTGTTGCTGCCTGAAAGCTTCCAAAAAATTTCAGTGACAAACATTAGCAATCATATGACGATGAATACCGTTGCATACGAAATAACGTGTATGATGTTCGTCGTGGTAAGTCGTTCTTTGGAATTTGGAGTTCTTGACTTTGGAAATCTAATCCGGAGTGGGGAACTGAACCCAGATGGGGTGCATGAGGCACCTCCCGCCTGCTGGTTGGTCCCTTCCCAGACTACAATTATTCTCCAATAGTCCAGTTATTCTCAAATTAAGAACATATTCTCCCACGACTTATTCGCCTTCAAGTGAGTACACACAAAATTCTTCCGACATATCTGACTTCTGGATCTCGGATCCTTAACTTCGTTCGGTAACCTATAAGCTGACTTCGGTAACTCATGGACTAGCTTTCATAACCCATAGACTATTCCTTCCCCTTGAACTTATAATAAACAAACCCACTCATCCTATTCTAACGCTAGTATGCCCAAATAACTTGAAAATACTATAGAACACTGATTGCACCACACAAGCCGGTCCGATTTGGACCAAAAGATCCAACGATCAAAAGCGTGAAAGCGACCGGGGGCCGGGGCTCGAGAAGAAGAAAAATATATCTCGCCCCCACACCTCCCACTTCTCACCACACCAACCATTCAACAACCTACCGACTACCAGGTACAAGGTTAAATAGAGATCGAAGATGGATTTCCGCGGGGAGGTGCTCTTTTGGAGCAAGGCCATGCACGAGCGAGTGGGTGCAAGGACGCCGTACCAGAGGTGTGTGAACACGGGAGTCACGTACGTACGTACCCAGTTTGCTCTGATGACGCTGGGAGTGATTCACAATATGACGTCATGCCTGTCTATAGTCTCCACTATCCGGTTGTGCTGCTTAGCGCCGAACGACGATGCGGTCGCCTGTGAGTCTGTGAGTCAGGGCGCGAGATCTGCGAAGTGAAGACCTTCCCAGGGGTGCAAATGTTGTCGGTAGTGGCATCAGGTCGGTCACTACATATCTTTCCTAGGACAGCAAAGTATAAAAGTCAAGTCCCTCCGCAGTATAATCTCACATCCGACTCGATTTTTTTTTAGCAACTATCTATCTGTGGCATCCGTTGAGTGCACAGACATGGTGGGTGAGTATCGATTTCGAGAAATCCAGATGTCCTGCTATAGCGCTATAGCTCTCCAGCACTCTAACAGATTACAATGAGGATGGTGAAGGTTCGTTATTTTTAGACAGGAGAGATTTGGTTCACCCTACCCAGCGCGCGCTATAAATATTCCGTTTTTTGTCTGATTGAATAACGTCTCTTTTTGGCCCTCTCGTGTGCTGACATACTAACGAGCTACAGAGGACCATCCGGAGAATATCCGAGATCATGCAGGAGATTTCCTTTACGCTGCATGCCTTCAAATCAAGCGCAAAGAGCCCCCCCCCCTTCTCTCTCTTTCTCTCTTTCTCTCTGTCTCTCTTTCGCTCGTAATATCATCTGTTGTCACGGCCAGACTTGCCTGATCTACTGAAGATCTGCGGTTTTTGGACTATTCTCTCACATACATGCACGTCAAACTTGAGCGCACACATACTGCTGCGCTGTAGACTACCACGTGCTTGGAAGAAATCACAAGACGTACGAACTTCCGATGCTTGCGTATAGTGGGTTGGTCACCGGAAAAAGAAATACCCATAGATAGGAGGATTAATTTAACCAACACGTGGAACGCGAGTGGCAGACAGAGTTTGTCGCAAACATGGCTGGTTGGGAACACCAAGGGTCAGATTTCGGCCTGTGCCTGAATGTAAACGACGCTTTCCCCGTCCGGTGCAACTGTTTTGTTCCCTTCTTTCCTCCACCTCCAAAAGGTACGCATGTGCGACTGCCTCTGTGTTCATCGCCGGGGCAATCGTGATCGGCGACGCGTGGATGTCTCTGAGGAGGCGGTGAGTTCTTGTGTTTGCTTCAACTTGAGTGGGCGGGGGGGGGTAGGGTACATTCCCGGGTTCGGCGTTTTGTTTTGATTTGTTGGCCGACAGCGTAGTCATTGCTGAGGTACATTGGACAAACAGCAAGGCTGTAACACCTACCTCGAGGCTCAAACAACTGCAACGATTTGGATTAAAACCGTAGGAAAGCCTGATGTATGTGTAGACTGTGCTTGGTAGCCCTGTAGACAGGGAACTAGTTCCGTTTCCTGCAGGACCCACGAAATCGACGTCCACAATCACAAGCCTACATGACACATGACGCTTCCTCCATGGTACACCACTTTTCACACATTGACCCACAGGTGGAGACTTTCAAGGCGCGATCGCGCCCAAAACCCCGTTCCACGCAACGTTTCATCGAGGGCATTGGTCCTCTACTCGGATCCGGCATACGCCGCTCCCCTGGTCGACGGGGACAGGTGAGTTTGGTAGTACAGAAGTTTCGCCGACTAGTTCGGGGGGTATTTGTAGCCACGTGTACGCCACCGTCCCAAACTGTTGCTCCGCCGCGCACGACCCGACAACACAAACAAGAATCACCAACCCCTAGTCCATGTCTTGTTCAGTTGTATTCTCCACGTATAATTTCATCTATTTCATAGACTTCCTCTGTCCCATAAGTCTGTAAGCGTTATGGGCGAGACGTTTTTGAGGTGGAACGTTGGTGCCGATGATTGTAAACTGGGGTCCGTTGCAAAGACAAAGCACAGAGGATGCAGATGAAAGAATGACGGTTTTCGACACACAAATCAAGTCGAAGTATCCCCGATTTGTGGGTGGGTGTTTCTCGAGAGATTGTGTGTGTGTATTGTTGCCGAAGATTCTGTACTATCAAACTCACCCGCAGTTGCTGGCGCCCAAGGGGTCACCAGTGTTTGCCGGACCTGA